GTATATGTAAAGTGTTATTGTAAAATATACGAAGTTGAGCATGGGAGTACATAGGTCTATGGTTCTCTGTAGGAGGAGTTATGCGGAAACGCTATGCACCTCTTATGCAAGTAAATACTCCAAAAAATGACAAAGTTCAACCATCTCCCAAAAGAGCAAATATTAATAAAATTAAAACCCTGACCACATGCACACCTTCAATATATGTACAAACAGCAAGCAAAGTGAAAACTTCCTAGCATTCAAACTGTAAAAGGACTTATCTGGAATAGCTATACACCACTTATGCAAGTATATACTCCCAACATGACAAAGTTCGACTATCTCCCAAAAGTGCAAATATCAATAAAAATCAAAACCCTGGCCACATGCACACCTTCAATATGTGTACAAATAGCCAGCAAAGTGAAAACTTCCTAGCATTCAAACTGTAGGAGGAGTTATCTGGAATATCTATATACCCATAATGGGACGGACGGACGGAAGGACGAAAGGACGGACGGACAGGGGTAAAACAATATGCCCCCAACTTTCAGTTGCGGGCATAAAAAGCCATATCCATCTAAGGTCAACTTTGCCTGAAGGAGTTGAAACCTTAGTTTCTTTATAATTTCAAAATTTATTAACGGACAATTACAGAAAGGTTTGTTATAAATCATGTATGTACCGAAGTACTGACTACTGAGCTGATGATACCCTCGGGGACTAATAGTCCACCAGTAGAGGTATCGACCCAGAGCTGTAAAAAAAATGAAAACAACACGAAAATAATTTCATGCGTCCGAAGCGCTTTTCTGGATATACCTTCATCAGGAAGGCTCAAAGCCGAATATTTGAAAGCCAAGGATATATAAGAACCGAAACAGTTGAAGAGCTGTATGACCAAAAATTACCTAAAAAAAGCCAAATCCATCTGAGGGAGTTGAAACCTTAGTTTCTTTATAATTTCAAAATTTATTAACGGACAATTACAGAAAGGTTTGTTATAAATCATGTATGTACCGAAGTACTGACTACTGAGCTGATGATACCCTCGGGGACTAATAGTCCACCAGTAGAGGTATCGACCCAGAGATGTAAAAAAATTGAAAACAACACGAAAATAATTTCATGCGTCCGAAGCGCTTTTCTGGATATACCTTCATCAGGAAGGCTCAAAGCCGAATATTTGAAAGCCAAGGATATATAAGAACCGAAACAGTTGAAGAGCTGTATGACCAAAAATTACCTAAAAAAAGCCAAATCCATCTAAGGTCAACTTTGCCTGAGGGAGTTGAAACCCTAGTTTCTTTATAATTTCAAAATTTAAAGGTATCGACCCAGTGCTGTAAAAAATGAAAAACAACACGTTATACTTTTCATGCGTCCGAAGCACTTTTCATAAATTGTAAAGAAATATCATGCTTTATGAATAGCTCTCAGATTCCATGTACCGTTTTGGATTTACGTTTGGTACTTTTTTTTATTTATCAGATATCTAACGTTTGTATTGTGTTTTGGATTTCTAAATATGTTGTCCTTACGCATTATCAAAGAGACATTAAATGGTAAAAAAGTGGTACCTTTTATGGTTAGTATGCTCTGAATATAGTTTACATTGGCACTAATATCGATTTTGCCATTAGCAAATTAAAACATAACTAAATTTGTATTTTCTTTTCAAACGGGATGTATAGAGACACGCACATGTTCATTTTTATCTATAAAGGAGTCACTCCTAACTATCCTACTACCTGTCGATACATTTATTTTTGGCATTGCACAAGTCATGTCTTCTTTGACTGTTCATGACGTTAAAATACTAAATCCCTGGGATGTGTTTTAGTTGATTTCAGTCGCTGATGCATGATTTTTTATTAGTAATTGTTTTGGCTTTTAACTAGCTGTCAGTAACTGCGAGTACTCTCAAATCGTACTTTCTTTTTAATTTGACCTGTTGATACTATTTGTAATGCTTTTTTGATATTTAATGTTAACATTATTTCATTTCTCCTTTAATACTGTTCTTGCACCGGTACAGGAAGTTTTATCTAGCACTTATTGTATAGTTTTATTGTTGATATTCACCCCATATGAACCAAGTGTTAGATTAGTTTTATTGATATTAAAGAAATTTCTTGGTATTCTTAAACGGAAGATTTTATACACACAGAAGAAGAAGTATACTTAACAACAAAATTATTTTCATTTACCAGTGTATAATATGACGCAGGTTTTTTCAAAAGTGATGATTTTCTAAATATTGTTTAACATTTCACAGTTGTATCATACTTTAACTTTATTTAAACCTGTTTATTTACTTTTGACCTTAATTATTTATCCCTTATAATTTTTATTAACTATGTATTTGCATTCAGGTATCACAGATCAAATTTATTCGTTAATTGTGTGTTAATTTACGTTTTTGATTGAGTTAAGCCTTCCAATTAATATTTTATAGTGTGTCTTTCTATGTTGTGATGTTATACTATTGTTTCAAAAAAGGGAGAAGGTTTGGTACCATTAAAACGTTTAATCCCGCTGCAAATGTTTGCACCTCTCCTAAGTCAGGAATCTGATGTACAGTAGTTGTCGTCTGTTTATGTAGTTCAAACGTGTTTCTCCTTTCTTGTTTTTTTATAGATTAGACCGTTGGTTTTCCCGTTTGAATGGTTTTACACTAGTAATTTTTGGAGCCCTTTATAGCTTGCTGTTCGGTGTGAGCCAATGCTCCGTGTTGAAGGCCATACCTTGACCTATAATGGTTTACTGTTATAAATTGTTACTTGGATGGAGAGTTGTCTCATTGGCACTCATACCACATCTTCCTATATCTAGTTTCATTATTCTATTCTCAAAACGCTTAATAGATAGGTATTTGATATTTTATAGAATTTCAAGATGCTAAATCAATTATTATATTGGGATAAAAAAAATTATTGTACAAGTACAAAGAAAGGTGTGCATGTGACAAAATATTGCTGTTAAGAAATCAAACAAATACAGAAACAAATCACAGAAAGTCACGTTTTTTACGTTACATGTGGTATATATGTCTTGCTAATGATATGACTACCGATGTCAATAAGATGATATGCATTCTCTGTTAAGGAATTTTCGTATCTTGTCTTTAAAAATTTACGACATGATGATTGTTCTCAATCCTGTACTGATCTTTACCTGAATAAGGAACAAGAATTTTTGTTTAATCAATGAACCTTTATTTTTCAGTAATTTTCATTAGAAAAAAATATTCACTTTATATTTGAAACAATTTTTTTAAAGACATTTATGATCCATCATTATGTGACAAAAACATAAATTCCACTCCACAAGAACACACAAAATATGAATGGTCAGTGCCTAATGGTATTTAAAATGATACGGGCATACTATATGTTCGATGAATAGAAGTAGTTTTCAACAAATGAATTTGTTATCATAAAATATTTATATTTGTATAACTTTTTCATAAATAATTTTTGCCAGAGACTAAAACATGAAGTTTCAACATACTGAAAACTTAAAAAAAAGTATATTTACCGTACAGAATTATTCGGTAATACACGTTGCTTGTATATTTTCTGTAAAGCAAGGGCTAAAGCTGGCAAGGAAGTAGACGCATTTACTAAAACACTGGAATCTGGTTTAAGCCTATGTGGAGCCATCCAAACCATTTTTATAGCATCGGTCACTGTTAATCCAGTAAAAATTAATGAGATGTACACGACAAAATTGCCACTCATAATAATGATAAACTCTTTACAACTATTTGACGATTTCTCAAATATAAGGTTATATTCAACTATTGAACCAGTAAATAAAGTGCAACTGAAGGTTACTCCATAAAAACCCAACGAAAATTTGCATTAAAGTATCTTGTTATCGTTCCCGACACAAAGGCTGAAACATATAAAAGATGTTTTTATTTCGACAATCGTGTTTTTTTTTTATTCAATCAATACGGTATCACGAACGTAAACGAAATACATGAATTGACCAATAGGATCATTCGAATAAATTTAATTAATGTATTTCAATCCTTATCGTTTATTATTTATCGTAAAGATATGGTCTTCTGCGCAGATGGAACTAAAAGATAAAAACACAAACTAGCCCTCATCGAAATAATGGATCGCCATTGATTACATTTTGCGTAAATCCTTTTGTTGTTCAAATAATCTTGATTTGAATGCAAATATGACGAAAGGAAATATTCAATCAAAAACACATTTCAGCTAATTGGAAAAGTCAATATTTATCTTAAAGTTTCAGACATGTGATATTAATATTTTACTTCCTATTTAAGTGAAGCGTGATTTTAATACATATCAAACGAAACACTTGAAGCTGATTGTTGTTGTCGCCATGTCAAGTTGTAAGAATTAAGAAAGTTAATTCCAAATAGTGCAATCTAAAACCAGACAGAAAACATCGTTGCCAAAAGAAAAAGACGAAAAGATAACCAATAGTCCGCAAATCACAACGCGTAAAACTAAAGAGTAATAATTATTCCGTAAGTGTCAGTGTTCGTCCTTTACTAGTGACATAACAATTTGTTTTTTTTTAATTCTGGATTAGGGCAAATTAATTAAAACATTACATCATACCAGGTTCTGTATAGTGAGAGAATCAGTATAAAGTACATTTGTTGGAGTGTTTTCTCTCCCGTGTTTTTTGGCAGATTAACGTCGACCTGTTCACTTCTTGTTTTGTCTATGTATAGTAACTTAAAGGTAAGGTATAAGGTATTATTTTTTATTTTCCCGGTCACTTTGTATTAGGACCTCTCTTTTATTACTTCCTGTGTTACATATATTTTCAATAATCTGTTTATTATTTAAACTAATTTTTGTTAGCTAACATGTTCTTGCTCATATTAACACACACATACATTGGAAACAGTTTCTATGTATCGCTATATTTTCTTAAGATTATAATTATTGGTGCTTGCTCCTGTACTTTGATTTTTTTTTTAATATTATCTGATGCAAAAACTAATGACATTTATAAACAGAGTGTAGATGGTAATAAAATAACATGTTTAATTTCCACATGTAAAATAAATGAGAAAAAAATAACAAATATCACATTTATGAACTAGAAAAAATGTTCCTTAACAATTGCACTAAGTAGTGTAAAAATGTAATACATTGAATAAATTGTACTAATGGTCCGCATCTTCTGGTTCACTGTCAAACAACTGTAAACTAGGAGTTTTGATAGAAAGTTGAATTAAATCTGCAGATGGAAGTTTAGACTGTCCGTCTTGAAAAACGTCAGAGTGTTTGATTTTCTCACATAAATCGGGCAAGGTTTCTTCCTCTGAACTTTCTGTGTCCTCTATTTCCTGATCCGGATTATCTCTCAGATGAGAATAGTACTGTTTAGACGAGTCTTGACTAGATATATTTTCTTTCTTTATTCCTTCCAACCAGTAGGTTGTCATACTGCCTTTTCCCTGAGAACAAATAACACATTTAATGAATTTAGTAAAAATAAATTACACACTTAAAAATTATACAAACACAATTTATTCTTTTAATGAAACAAAAATAAACTTTGTATCTACAGACATTCCAAATATACCCGACATTTTGAATAGCGTTTAGCTAAAATTTTTATAAAATAAAGGCAACAGTAGTATACCGCTGTTCGAAACTCATAAATCGATAGAGATAAAAACAAATCCGGGTTACCAACTAAAACTGAGGGAAACGCATCAAATATAAGAGGAAAACAACGACACAACAAAAACACAACATTAAAATGTAACACACACAGAAACGAACTATAATATAACGATGGCCATTTTCCTGACTTGGTACAGGACATTTTAAGAAAATATGTCTTACACTTATGATAAAAATACGTAAGGTTTATATAAAAATATTAGGTACAAGATTTTATTTGCAGGAAATACGCTTTGAAGGTCTGTTCAATTTTGTTATAACGATATGCATAGCTTACTTATTCATCAAAAACCAAACAAAGCCTAATGAGTTACTTTGTCTGAGTTTGCTCCTTGTTATTGGTTAGTTATCAATGTGTAAACAGAAAACTATTTCATTTTACCTTTATCGTTAGGTCACCTCTTTTCTGGAGTTCAAATAATCCGGTTTCCTTCAACATATTAGCTGTTGCACTACTCATATGAATTTTCAAACCTAAAAAATAAAATGTAAAAACTACATTGTCCATTATTTTGAATTAATTAGGTTTGTGCATATAGGTTCTTTAGAAGCTACTCCAAGAGAATCAAAACTATATTTAAAAGTGATTTCTTTGAAAACGTAGAAAAAATCTTCACTAATCAAACTTTCTGAAATTGAGTCTTGCAACCCTGATTGCACCAACCAGACATAAGCTTCTTGGGGAAAACGTTCAAAAATTTGTTCTTGAAGTTTCTGAAGTGGTTTAAAACTACTAATACTTGTTCATAATATTGTGTTTTCTTTAGAATTTGAAGGGTCTTTACTATTAAGGTAGATTAACTGTATGCCGACATCTTGGATTTTAAAGTAGCAGTTCACAATAGGTCTAGTTAATTACTTAAATCTGCAAATTTTGAGACAGATTGGCAGATAATTGGTTAGACTGTTTATTGGAATAGAGAAAAAGAAGCGATTTATTGCATTATTCAAATTGATTTATCAAATACCAAATATTTATGTTTGTTGGAATTGAATTGTCAACTTAACAATTTAAAGGGAGATAACTCAAATAGTAATTTTTGTTAAAAAGGAATGATAGAGAGATTTTCAATTTTTACCTGTAGCAAGAAAACAAGGTCGGTGACAAAGCATATTTTAAAACCTATCTTCTCATATTTTATTTCAAAATTCTATCTCATAGATTTCTTTTTATTCAAAAAAAGAATTTTTTTTCATGAACAATCTATACAAATTTGGCCGTTTTACACGACTTGTAGCTTGAAAAATAGCACGGTGACCCATACTTTTTATTATATTTTTGAAAATTGCAATTCTGGCAAAGTATAAGAAAATTTTATCTGAGGAAATATATACCAATGATCCACCTTAAGAGATTTTCATTGTGTTATGTCAAATGCAGAATGTTATGTTTTATAATGGATATAGATACTTGCCAAAAGTTAATATATTTTAAAGATATATTTCAATGCAGACAATTGGAATGGCAGCGCCTTTTTAAGATCCAAGCATAGATTGTTTATCGTTTTTTAAAATTTAACACAAAGAGAGATACAAACACAGACACGGTAGACAAATATATCTAAGGTACCGCATCGATTACCTTCTCCATTGGATTCCATTCTAGAAGCTGTATTAACTGTATCACCAAACAGACAATATCGTGGCATGGTAAGTCCGACAACTCCTGAAACTACCGGGCCACTATGAAGACCTGCACATAATGAATTAATTGTAGTCAGAATCGTTTTTACCAAAATTTTCAAATATTCGTATTTTATAAGGACACGTATATATATCTTTCCAAACCAGACTACCTCAAGTATCGTTACATTTATTTTACAACTCGCAATTGAGTAAATTTATTAGAAGGTTATACTTAATAGATAATTTGTCACTTGTCATGTTTTATTTTCATTATATGTCATTTCCAGGTTGTACATTTGCTTTAATCAGCATTTTGTTTGTGCTTTATCCAGGATTCTGTTTGAATTTCAAATATTTCAAAAGAGAAGGGGCAATAAGGCCCTTTCTTGGCCCACATAATACTGCAAATTTAATAGTTATCATATATATTCTTAAATTTTTCCTAACTAGACTAAGGTACAAGGTATTCAGAAAATAAAAACAAATTTCACATTTAACAAGTTACCATGGCAACAAACTATGACGAAATTTGTATATTTTGTAAAATTTCTTGATTTTACTTGTTTTTCATTAACTTTTAAGTATATTTTCTATTGGCAAACTATGTGCACACCCCAGAAACAACTTTATATTAGGTGAGATTATGTCAATAGTTATAATAAAGCATTTCTTAAATTATTTTGTTGTTTCTTGGCTGCGCACGATGTTTCCATAATTGAAATAACGATGGAAAACTGCAAAAATTCTGTATTTTTCATCGTTATAATGAAAACGGTGCATATTATGACGTAATTGTGACGTCATCAGATAAAAAAATCTGATGTTTTTCATATATATTTCTAGATTTTATGCATTTCCAAACATTATGTGCCAATTTGAATTAGTTGTCCAACATTTTATTTTCTTGGGCCAAAACCGGGCCTTAATGCCCTTACTTCATTATTTTTCAAAATAACAATAATCTAAATCATTCGAGATTTCAAAATAATCAACAGTCAGTGTATCCGGTTTTATTACGAATTTCAAGATTTCATTCGACTGAAGTGCCGTTTTCTTTTTAAAATACAAGATATGAGGTAAACGTCATATGACAATATCCCGACGACACAAATAACAATAAATATCTAGATGTATAACGATTATTTGTTATGCAAATTTGAGGAGATTTTATATGATTGCCAAAGAAGCAAGCAAAATATATTCAGAGATTCACAGTCGCCCATTTATTTTCGACTATTGCGATTGAATATCCCTTTGGTATCTTTCGCCTCTCTTTGACTTAGTGCAATGTGCTTTTATTTGTGCTACCTTACAAACTTTTCTGCAGAAACAACTGTGAACGAAAATTGAAGACAACAGAGGCACTCTGATTCAAAGCTGCACTTCTATTCAATACACAGGTATGTTTCCATGAGTTTTACTTTTTTCAATCAAAAGCACTGGACGTGATATGTTATTTTTTATAAAACTAGAAGCCCAAAGAGTCCAAGGAGCCGGAATCGCTTATCTGAATTGTTTTGGTTAAAAATAAATTAAACAACGTTAACACTTCCAGGATACATTTAAAATAGTGTTTCGTGGGATCTTCAAATGATTAATCAATAATGTAAAGTTTCGAACTATTTCGACTTTTAGATTTTGTTTTTTTAATGTTCAATCAAATTCTAAGATTGCCTTTTACAGGACAGTTTTTCATCTCATCGCATCCAAATAAAGTAGATCCCATGTATACTATTTCTTTTAAGTCTGATTAAGATGAAAATGAAAACTTGATTTTCGAAAGAGCGTAAATGTAAACTTTGACACCAATGCCACCACGCCCATTTACTATCATATATCGATCATGTAAAGTTTCAAAATATTTCGTATTATAGTTTCAGAGAAGATTGGCAAATCTCAATAAAAGATTGTCTCTGCTTGTTATGTTGCTCATTTGATCAAAAACAAATGATAATCTATTTAGAAGACCTTCCAAAGGTCATTCCTGCCAAATTTGCTTAACATTTGGCAAAATTGTTTTAGAGAAAGTGCTGAAGATGTGAATTCCTATAGGCTTTATTTTATGAACTATGTGTCATCAATGCGCCATGTATGCCACCTGATCAATATAACATGTAGATTGTTTAAAGAAGGTTGCGAATTATCAATCCTCTAAATAATTTTAAAACTCACTCGGTAGTTTCAAAGAAGATTTTTCAAAAATTTACAACTAAAATCACAGTTTGCATCTTGTAACCATGTTTTAAATCTAATCAAAAACCAGATGAAGAATGTGTTGTATATGTCCTTCTATGTAATATTTCCGTCTTGTGTATTTGAATTGACAATCTATTTTAAAAAAAAAGACGAAGTGTGAAAAAGAACGTACGACGAACGCACACCGCCAAGTAATGACAAATTTTCACCTGAAAGCCAGGTGAGCTAAAAAAGAGAGATGATACTATTAGGGGCAATTAAGCCAAAGAAAAATCAATAGCATGTACCAATAGATAAACGACAGAAATATAAACAATCCACAATAACCTATACAGAAAACTGAAGATCAAGTAAACGCACCGCATAAAAACTGAAGGTGAACTCAGGTGATCCGGGATGGTATGCAGTTTCTTTTACATTAGTAAAACCCGTCGTGTTGCTCGTGGCAGATAAAACCTTAGTTACCCATCACATTCGATAATGGCACAATTGAGAGAAAGAGGAAAGGAGTGTGGCTACACGTTAAACATTTCCGTGGTCATATCTGACATTAATATTCAGAAACGGTCACAAATATCACGATGGCGTCTGTTAATCGTTCGAAGGAATGACTTCGACTTGAAATTTGGTCCAATAAACTCCCTCTATCAACGAAAAAAGTAAAATAGCAAAAATACCGAACTCCAAGGAAAATTCAAAACGGAAAGTCCTTTATCAAATGGCAAAATCAAAACCTCAAACACATCAAACGAATGGAAAACAACTGCCATTTTCCTGACTTAGTACAGGCATTTCCTTATGTAATAAATGGTGGATTAAACCTAGTTTTAAAGATAGCTAAACCTCTCACTTGTATGACAGTCGCATAGAATTCCATTATATTGACAACAATGTGTGAGCAAAACAAACATTATTAGAAATGCAAACCTTGGAATATTGTTTTATTTTTAATTACTTTCCAGAAAACTTGGAAGTCTTGAAACAAGACCTTATCTCTTTCTGTTAATTTTATAAAGAAAATATATAAGAAACAACAAATTAATGTTACGTAATCCCTCTTGAAAATAACGATGAATCTTTTTCAAGTCGATTAAGATAAAATTTCATTTTCAATATAACACTAAAATACCTATTCTAATACGTAAACAACCTTCGGGGTCATGAGGCATCCTAAAATTTCTCACACCATCAAGGAGATCTAAGGCTACATAAGCCATCTCACTCGCATGTTTGTCGCCATTTCTCTCTGGTAACCCACTAACTACCATGTACGCATCTCCTATTGTTTCAACCTTGAATAAATCATGTTTTCAATTTTGCTTAAAATATACGAAATGAAATCGTATAAGAAAATATTGATAGCTCATTGTTAACTATATGTGACAAGTTTGTCCTTTAAAATATGTATATCTAAATTATTATTTTTAAATTACGTACTATTTAATCATTTTCATTTCATTTCTGATAATATGAACAAGGAAACTGTCTCCGGACAACAAATCAATTGAACGTGTCTAATCTAGGAAACCATTACCTACCTTGTAAACTTCATACGATTTTATTGTATCATCAAAAACTGTGTACAAGGAGTTCAATAGTTCCACAACCTATAAAATTAATGGACACTTATAGCACATCAAATATATTAAATATTTACTTATTTATTATCTGACACTAATATTACTACTTAGATAGCTCCGTTTTTTTTAAGAAATATCTAAAAGATAATGTTCAAGTAATTAGATTAGTTTCATAAATAAGAATGAACATTATTTGATAAAATAAAAGTCATCTCCCCATCTGATAGTAATACAGAATGCCTCATCACAGTTTATGACTTCTCAAATGATTTTATCATTAGTAGCATGACTGGTGCACCACTGGAGTAAAACTGTTTACCCTTTCAGAGCACCCCTATTTTTGATGAGGATCATGTTGGTCAATCTAATGTGCTGTGACCTGTTCTGATGACTTCTTTGTTTTTAGTTTTATTATTTGTACTATCTTGTTCTTAGAATTTGATTTGTAATTACTTTCAAGGTGTCTTCTCATAGTTAATTAATTTTTTACCATTTGGAAAAGTACATCCTTCTCAAATGTAGAACAGCGTACATGTTGTTATCGTAATTCACGTTTCAATGAAATATTATTTCAAATGCAATTACTTATCATAAACTTGAATGAATGATATTACACTACTATTCTTTTTCCCACAGTAGCAAAGATTATAATAATAGGTAAACTTTCCTTTTAACAGATACCTTTGTACGAAGTAGAGTATAAGTATTAATTCATTCAATTACATTTTACCTGAATTGGTGTACAATCTCCTGCTATTGTTGTGAAACCGACAATGTCAGAAAAGTATATTGTCACTTTCTCAAATGATTCAGCTTTCACTGGTTTTCCTAGCTTCAGATCCTCTGCAACTTTTCTATAATTGGCAAATAAACTTGATGTCACATTGTAAACCTTTTGATTTTTTACATTTAATTTTAATCATAAAAGGTTCATTTCAAACTTAAACAGATGGTTTACTGAATGTTCATCATACATATTTATAATCTATAAAAAGTATGAGATGTGATATGATTGTCAATGAAATATTTGCAAAGTGTGTTTACAATAAAGAGGAAGGTGAAGTTTAAACACATCAGCTGTTTCTTTATAGAAAAACTACATTAGCTAGAAGGTTTCTGGGAAATACCATGCACAGAGTAGGAATTTTGTGTAATTTTTTAAAGTTATAGTCATCTTAAAAAGTACTTAACGTAATAACTGAAGTTGAACTTTTTTAGTCAATTAATTTGTTTTTCATTTATAACCCATGCAATTTTAGTAGTCTTGGTGAAGATATTTTAATTTAGAACGTTATGATCGGTGCAGTTTAAAATGGTTAGATGGGTTTGTGGTTTGCCGCTGTTTTTGACTTTTTCTATCTTTATTGATTCTAACAATAGAAGAAGATCTAGAAGTCAAGCAGTAATTCTATTTTGCAAAACTTTCTCCTTTAAATATATAAACTAACCTTGTCCTTGCGTCATGACGCAGTTTTATACTAGAAGATAATTATAGAATTAAACGCATAAAGGTGATAAAGTGTAAGTTTAAGATTTCAAAGAGAGGCGAACAATACCAAAGAGATATTCAAATCGAAAACAAACTGGCAATGCCATTACAAAGCATCACCAATTATTTTAATGTGCCTTTTAGTTTTGAATGGGGAATACTTGTGTATAGGGTAGAAAAGTCAAATGTTTTAATATTGTTGCAAAAGGTAAGAGACTTAGATTGTATGTACTCTAACAGAGCTTTGGCATTTTTATGTATTCACATCTGATTCACGCCGCCCCTAGAGTAGATACTTTCACACAATAACTTTGAAGCCCGGCTTTGATTGCTTATAAACTGAGCAATTAAACATGTTCGATAAACAGGATTAATGTACACATATACTTATTGAACGTTATAAGAATTATGTTACCTTGGAAGCATTTGGTATAACAAAGCGTCTGTTTTGCGTTTTTCATCTTCTAACTGAGCTGTCCTGTCAGCTACTAGTTCCTCCAACTGATTGGAGTACTTCTCCATCATAACAATCATATTTTCAATAACATTCGACTTTCTGAAGACAAAAAAGTAAAATCAGTTTTAATATACATGCTCTTCAATAATATTATTTTTTTTACAGTTTCGAAAACAATCATAGTTTTACTAAAGTCAGCTTTCTAACACAATATTCTAGCAAACCCTAAAAGTTGTGAAATGGCACTCCACGCTTTAACTAAAGAAGTTGTTATGGCAAATTCTTGGAAAAGAAAACAAATCGAGTCATGTAATAAAAAGATATAACAACAATGTATCTCAAATAGCTTGAGAATATCAAAACCATTTTTTTAAAACAAAAACAAAAACTCAGAATCTTTGGAAGCATACTGTATTAAGTCATGTCAGTAATTGATCTGGATGTACGACATTAAGATAACTTACTTAAATGGATTGATGGCATTTAAAGTTTTAAGAACACGTTTAATTGAGGGTCTGACTTGTGGATCTTCTGCCCAGCACCGTTTTATTAAAGCCTCAATAGCCATTGTCTGTTTCATTGTCTGTACGTCGTCCGACATATGTGGAAATTTCGGACGAAATGGCACTTTCAGTGTTGCAGCTACTTTATTAATTATTTCTTGAAAAGAAAAAATAATCAAAGATGAAGAGATCTTTCGATACATGAAATAAGGAAAAATACCTATTCTGTAAATGACAAAAGGTACGCTTTCACCATTTTATTTTCTCAAAATTGTCGGTGTATTAAAACTAATCTTTTTGTCATATCATTCAACATTTCAGAACTTGAAATATTATGGGTAATTTTCATAGTTCGTTCATCTTTAGAAACATAACGAGAATTAACTGATTTGATATCCATTAATTAGTCTGGGCGTTGCTAACTATTTCAAATTTGTTTGTACATATTTTAAAAATAATACCCAGAAAACATTTGATCCTATATGGGAAATTGCATTTAAAGAATTTTTAAGTTATCTGCCTTGTTTTAACCACTTGTATAGATTCTTTGGGAAGGCATCCAAACTTTCCCTGTATTCTTAAATAAAGATTGGAAAAATATTTGGGTACAGTTTGGAAAAAAGTTAAATATTTTCAATCAGTAAAAAAAATACCATCTGCTGGAATATAAGCTTCACATCCAAAAGGACTATCTCTTGTCACTAGTTCCTTCGCTATAATACCAAAACTATAGATATCACCTTGAATCGATCCAGTCTTCTGATGTTGAACGACCCATTTTCTTAGATGTTCTGGTGCTGTCCAGAAAAGTGACTCTAAAACAAATATGTTCGATATAAGATCAAATGATGGTTATATTGAATTTTACATTTTCATGACGATTAGTAATGTTGGCTAATGTTATAATGTCTTATTAAAAGCTAGTTGACGTTTGAATCACTTATGCTTTTAAATTGAATAACACTAAAAGTATTTCTCCTTTTTAATTATCAATTTCCAATTTCTCAACAGTAATGAAAGCTCTGCTCAATCGTATGGAGTTTACATGTTACAATTCATGCGTTACGCTCTTGCATGTTTTCAACATACGGACTTCATAAACAGGGGTGCTGACACGAAAACTGCTTCAACAGAGTTATGAAGGAGAACGGCTGAGATTGACACTATAAAAGTTTTAGGTTACCATCAAGAATTGATTTTCCCTAGATACCAGAATAGTCTGATCTGTAAATCTATCGATTGTTTCCTATTCCCGATTGTGACATTCTGACTGAGTGTGATTTCGAATCTGGATGATGCAGGCCTACCAGAACAGGTTTACCCTGTCGACGTACCCAGAATCGCTACTTTTGGAGTAAATGTTCTTCCCTTAGTTTTGTTCTTTACCTTGCTTTATATCCTCTTAATAGATGTATGAGAGTTGAACATCAGTTATAACCTACGTTTTGAGTAAAAATATATTTTATTTTTATTTAACCCGATTCTATCACTTTTGAGAAATTGATCCAGCTGTTAATGTTTTATGAATGATCGACTTAAAGTACAATACCATTTATTGTTTATTGTTTAGGAGCTTTGTCCGATATTTCTGCATTTCAGAGGTAGACGATTAAACATAAGCATATTTATTTATTTATTTATTATCTTTTTAAAGTAAAATTAAAACTAAATTTTGACATTTCTCTAAAAACTGCGTGTAGTACCTGCTCCTGTTCTCCAGTCGCTGTTCTCATCATTAAAGTTTTTATAAATAGTTCTTGGCCCAAAGTCCGCAAGCTTACATGTCCACCTACTATCCACTACACAATTAGTACTTTTCAAATTTCCATGATATTTAAGGTCGCTTTTGTAGATATATTCTAATCCCTGTAAAAACAAACAATAATCCCAAGCGTTAATAAGAACAGAAGAAATCATCACTACATTTTATTTCATTTGTATAAATGTTAACAGTTTCTTTTAGTAATTTTAAATGTGATTTTAAAACATGACATTTTAATGCAAAATGAAAATTAGAACAAGGTTACATTTTAAATGCAAAACCATTCAATCATCACAATTTTCGAAGTATTGCATTTCATTGTAATGGGGAATATTTCCAGTAAGTAATAAAAAGAAATAACTTTTAAAGGACAATATGTAAATCTGGCTCATGTATCTGTTGTCTACAGACATTGTGTGCACCTTTCAAAAGTTTTAGTTGCCAAATAGTATTTTATCATCAATAAGTCACCTTAAATCAAACTGTTTGCAAAAATCCGAGAAAATACTGTAAAACATTGAAAGATTTACTTAGAGGTTAATTTTCATTATCATTTGGGAATCTAACAGAATCCCAAATTTGTACACTAGGCAGTTACAACTCTTGAATGATCAGTGTTGATCACGTAATTTGCAACTCATTACGTGAAAATGCTTTATAACCTCAGATGCACCTTTAATTTTACTTGGATACGGAAAGGGGAAACGGAAAGATGGACTTTTCCGTATAAATCTCGACTCTGTTAAACTTTGTTTCAATGATACCAATATACCAAAGCAAATCTTTTATAAGTTTGAATTTGATAGTGTGCACATACATATATTCCATAACCAATGTAACATCTGTATGTGCCTGTCCCAAGTCAGGAATAAGTATTCTGTAATGCAGTGGTTGTCATTTGTTACTGTTTATCATATTTGTGTTTCGTTCATTATTTTGTACATAAATCAGGCCGTTAGTTTTCTCGTTTGAATTGTTTTACATTTGTTATTTTGGGGCCTTTTATAGCTGACTATGCGGTATGTGTTTTACTCATTGTTGAAGGCCGTACAGTGACCTATAGTTGTTAATTTTTTGTGTCAGTTGCTCTCTTGTGGAGAGTTGTCTCATTGGCAGTCATACAACATCTTCTTATTTTTAAATATACAATATTTCAATTGAAAAGTACGCTTGCTTTATAACCAGTCTAAAGTGTGTTTGTTTATAACTGCCTCAGTAACTTTTGTAATCTTATTATGCTTTATATTCAACACAAATAAGTTACGCGGACAGAGGCAATTGCATCCCTACAATTGTTGATCCATTTAGTTATGTTACTTTATAACGTCTCTTTTACTGATTCCATGCTTTCCAGGGACATTCCAGGCTTGTTGTCCATTCGTTTGATGTGTTTTATCATTTGATTTTGCCATTTGATTAGGGACTTTCCGTTTTGAATTTTCCTCGGAGTTTGGTATTTTTGTTATTTTACTTTTTTTCTCTCTAAGAATTTTAGATACCGGTATAGTCGTCTGATCTGTATTTTTGTGACATTTTGACCATGAATGATGCATGCATGCATAGCAGAAGATGCTTACCCTGTCAATACACCCGGTCTCTCTCCTTTTGAGCTTCATGCAATTCAATTATTGCTTTTTACCTTTATTTGTCTCTTCATAATCGATTAACGAGATTTGAACATCGGTAAACCACTGTCGCTGTAATTTACACATGGTTTTTATCGTTATTTCTGAATTCTTTTCTGTATCCTAAATGATATTTTTTTTAAACCAATATAGTTACTTTTGTAATTCATTTTAGCCGTTGTCTATTAAAACTCACCTTGCAAATATCAATAGCTAATGACAGCTTAAACATCGTATCAAGCTTAATGTCATCATTCTCAAGAATATCCTGAAATGACATTAAGTTTTTTGTTTAAAATGAGCTGTAAGGTTACTCTATTATTAATAACCATTAATAAAACATTGATTCAAGTTAATAATTCAAATACAGTATCAAAACTAATTTGCAACCATTTAATGGATGTCGTCAGTAAAATATTTCCTTTTACAGTTCTCTTATCTGGTTTTATATAGGTCTGTGTTGACTTGAAATTAGGAAAATCGAATATCGATCAAAGAATAATTTATACCTGTAGTGTTGGTGTGTTGCTCTGTTACTTGCAGAAATGTTTAATTTATAATATAAAAGTGAAGGAATAGACAAACTTCTTCAGAACTATCATGTGTGGAAGCAATATATTTAAAGTTATATTATTTCATTTAAATAAATGGTTAAACTCACACATAACCGCCCTTTTGCACAATGTTCCCATATAATTGAAATGTTTCCTGGTTCTGTACACATTCCAATTAGAGATGTAACATTTGTATGTTTAATACCAAGTAACTGAAAAATATATGTGTTGCATTTTATGTAATAGTTACGCTATAACATCTTTAGGCAAGATAGGATCTGTGTTTAAGAATACGTCTGAAGAGTTGTAAAATGAATGAAACAAATAAACAGTACTTCAACTATCCATCTAGAACTGCGATGTTTTATCACATCATATGTGCATAAGCATTTCATTTTAAAAAAGGTAAATGGCAAGACATGTAATGTTACGTGTAACAATTTGTTTAGATTTCTAAACTGAACATCACTGACATTAAATTATTTGTTGTTTCTCTTCCTTCTGCTGTTTCGGTTCTTTTACATCCTTGGCTTTTAAATATTCGACTTTGATCGTTCCTGATGAAGGTAAATCCAGAAAAGCGCGTTGGACGCATAAAATTGATAACGTGTTGTTTTCATTTCTTCAGGAGAGTTACCGTTTTTAAAAATTAAGTATAATGATTTATGTGTAACTTAAGGTTCTATTTTGAAAGCAAGTTTTCGCCGTTTGAAAGTACTGAAATGTGTTTTTATTCATTCTTATTTTTTTCTGCGACCTCAGTATAGTTTACCATGTCTCTTATAAAAAAACAAACTACTTCTGTAAAATCATTTCATGTTCATGCCTATATTTTCTTACTGTTTTCATTTCTTTAAGTAGCTTTCGATCAACTTTAATTTTCTGTTTCTTTAACCTTTTTAAATAAACGATTTGTCCTTTGAACTTTGCTAGATGATTGTTAGCCTTGTTAACATCTCCACCATCTATGACTGATTTTGTTGTATTATCAGTCATTCCATATTTGTCAGTATAAGAAGCTGTACCGTCCGTTAAGCAACCATCACTCTGGGTAAATGCAGTGGATAATGCCTTTTAAATAGTAAGAAAAATCAATTATATATATTTGTGTGAGTGATTTGATTAACAGAATAATCGATTATCAGTTTGGCGTACTTTTCATTGGATTAAGCAGAGGTTTAAAAGAACAACGATTCAGCCATTTCCATAAATTAAACCTTTAAAGTATAATATAAGATTATAGCTTGTTTTCACATCTTGCTAACACTAAATTTATATTGCACAATTATTTTACCAATGTTTCCCGTTGTTTTTTGGTGATTGTTTTTTTGGGGGGAGGGGGGTGTTGTTCTTTTTGTATTGCGGTTTACATTTGTACTATTAAAGAATATTTCGTTAACAAACTTTCTGTTCTCCTTACCTGACCTTGCTTCCTAATCTGACCTTCACTTAAGTACAAATATAGAATTTAGAGCAATCCCAAAATGTGAACTAATGATTAGATAAATTTTATGTCGTTATTCAAATATTTGCTTTAAACATACCCTTTCTCGAACCAATTGTTTGTCTATTTGCTTTGAAGAATAAAAGAAAATTACGCTTTTATGTGTATTTTGTTGTTGAGGGGTTGTTCCATACTCTTATCCCATTTGAATCCTACTTTTTTGGTGCGATCGATTTTCAAGACCTAGAATTGTTATTATCAGTGCATGCGTATAGTCTGAATAGTCTTATATCGGTCGTGACCCAACAAACTTCATAGTTCATCTATGAATTTTAATGTTTATAAGTTTCATTGTGTGGTTATACACTTAATGTCTGTTTAACTGTTCATGTTATGATCATATCCACTATACCATAAATGATTTGGCATTTTTTGCGATCCTGAAATCCAAATCTTGGTACTTTACTTTCCATGTTGAATCATTCAACTGCTGCTCTTTCTTCCAAATGCTGTAAAAATATACGATGGATTCTTGGTAAAGGTTAATTGATAGATGAAATAACTATGCTTTTACTTATTAATGCAAAGTTTAATTGATTGCATTTTTAGGAAGTATGTACAAATCGACATTTAACTGAAGAACAATTAAACATGTGGATGTTTTCATTTTCAAACGCCAGCTGCATCAGTGTAATTTACAAAAATATACTTCTTCAACACGAAAGTATACAGGTGAATGGACTGATTTTTTTTTCAGAAAAAAAAAGATGACGCGTTCAATACAATAACTGTTTTATATGTTTTATCCTTAATTGTTCATTCAATTTTGAATCGTATAATTCAATGAAAATTTAATGAAAATTGTTTAATTGATGATAGATTAGAAAAACATTATTTTTCCATCTTTTAAACTTTAAATTTCAAATTTTTTCATCAACAAAATTCATCAATAAAAAATTGATACAATGCAAAACCATCTTAACAGGAAAATGTTTACAGATTTTGTGCTACTTGATTAGTGTTTATGGATTGCAGTGTATTATCTTTTTAAGAAGAATATATTAACAAGACCGGATAGCATTACAATCTCATTCGTTCAGTTATGAATATTTGCATGTTTAGGTTGCTTGTTTTCCAATAACTTCTGTTCAATAAAATTTTAAATTACCGATATAGTAAAAATACTATCAACATGGCGGCTAGCATTCCACAACCAAGTCCAGCATATAATGCAGTTTGTGATGCTGAAAAAGACAAGTTTTCATTATTATTATATAAAATTGTGCAGATTCGGAGGATTTTCGGCCGAAGATTTATTGTTGTCAACACCATAAGGAATTGCTACAAACGATGAAAATTATACCGACATTTTTTTAGTGTTATATATATTTTGCTCGAATTTTATGTTCATATTTAGAATAAACTTCACTGAGCATTTCAATACTTTACAATAAGTGCTAAAATGCAACATAAATGTGCGTATGAAATGTAATAAACTTTACATATAGATATTTATAAACATGAACCAATCCATTACCCCTTAATTGATATGAGACAATTCTGAAATTTTAAACTGCTTCAAATTTTATTTCAAGCATGCACAAAATTTAAGAGTGCCGCAAATACCTGTTATAACAAAAATCTAATGTATATGATGAAAGTTACCTGTCAAGTCTTGCACATGATTCTACTCCATAACGTTTCAGTGTTTACCTGTCGGTGACAATATTGATTGGTAGGTAGTTCATTGGAACTGTTTGCATATTTTATACTTCATTATTGATCACATTGGATTTTAATTTCAATTGTATATTGTATTCTTAACAACATTATATGTTTATTGTAAAATAGCCAATCAGGATATTCCAGACTATGTTTTAGCTTTAATATTTCGTATATTTCCTCGATTTCATTTCATTTTGACAGTTTCCGCGGATTTTACAATTTCTCGATTTGACAAATAGTACATTTTGCTAAATAAGTATTCATCAGTTTTTAATATATTAAAGCTTTAATTGTCACCGATACATGTCAATCAATTATTGATATGTACTAGTTTATCTAACTTGAATTAGGGTTTTCTTAACTAAACTAATGTAAGGTTATCTCAGTTCAACAAGGATTACCTCAGCTCAATTTAAGTTCAGGAAAGCTAGGATGAGGTTTTTTTTAACTGCATAGGCAGACCTGGACACTTATTGGTGCGGGTTTTTTTCACAACCAGTTATATATAAATATACAGAGATTAAGCATCTCTATAACACATATTGTTTACAATTGATTAAGGAATGGTGCAACCGTATCAGAAAATCAAAGCGCAGGAGCGCTGTAAAGGCAGTTTCCATCTAGTCAATGTGTTTGTGACTTCATGTTTTCATCCTTAAGTCTGAGCCTTAAGTAAACGAATTATACCTGATAGGAAACGATATTGATCAATTTTAGAAAAGGCTATTTCAATGACACTCCGTAAATTTTACGGACACCATAACGAATTGGTTGATCCATACGATGTGTCTTTGTCAAAACTAACTAAGGACATTTGTACCACGTGTTAGATTGTGGTTTGTCATTACGTCGTCTGATCTTTTAATTACCGAACGTGACTTATTCCCAATTGTGACTGTTTTGCTGAGTGTGAAACCGCATTGCTATAAGACGTGTCACGGTACTTTTCTATCCCAAATTCATGTATTTAATTTTGATGTTATATTTGTTATTCTCGTCGGATTTTGTCAAATGTCTTAACGTCTTTTCTGTTATATTCGTGTGTTATGGTAAAGATAATTAATCACCCCTTCATTTATTAGATTTAAGTTTGGTTCAACGAAATTTATACGATATATTTGGTTTACAGTTTGATTCAGAAGAAACACCGACATAGCTAGATAATACAATTAATTATCTAATTACTACCACAATTTGATATTAATAAGTATTGTAATTTTCATTGTTATTAATAAATGTAATGTCAGTATTACAAATCTAATCTTGAATCAATCCTAATCCTATCTCATTTTTGGGAAATATTTTTACAAATTCAAATGTGACGTCACATTGTGTGTTTTTTTAGAATTTCAAATGTGACGTCACTTTGTGCGTTGAGGCTTTGGCTAACTCGGCTGTGTATATTTTTATGTGTTGTTTAAGTTGTTTTAAGTAATGTATCCGTTTTTATTCTGTAGTTAGTCCCCACTTCGGTTTTATCATGTATATCTATTATATAGTCATTTTATAAAATTTACTGTTTGCAAAATTATAAATTATTCTAAATAATAAGGATGTTCTTGTCCCAGGCAGAAAACCCTGGCCGTGTTAGGCGCAACTTTTTGGAAGTTTTGGTCCTCGGTGCTCTTCAGCTTTGTACTTGTTTTGGCTTTCAAACTTTTTTCATCTGAGCGTCACTGGTTGGTCTTGTGTGGACGAGACGCACGTCTGGCGTATTGAATTCTAAGCCTTGTACCTTTTGTTAGCTATTATTCGTGTGTTTTTTGTCCTATATGTTCTCCCATTTATTTGTATTGTGGTCCAGTCATGTGATGTTGTCGTTTTGGTGTTGTGTTTGACGTTGCCATAAAAGCGGGAGGTTTGGCATGCCACAAAACCAGGTTCAACCCACCATTTGTTTCTTAAAATGTCCTGTACCAAGTCAGGAAAATGGCCGTTGTTATATTATAGTTCGTTTTGTGTGTGTTACATTTTAATGTTGTGTTTTTGTTGTGTCGTTGTTCTCCTCTTATATTTGATGCGTTTCCCACAGTTTTAGTTTGTAACCCGGATTTGTTTTTATCTCTATCGATTTATGAGTTTCGAACAGCGGTATACTACTGTTGCCTTTATCTATTGATAAACGCGTTTTAAAAATTAAACCTTTGAAGTCAATGGATAAAAAAAGAATGTTTAACAAGCCATACATTAGCTTGTATCTACTATGCAACATACATCCGTACTAGCGTCCTCTGTTTTGTGAACAAGTATAAAATTCAACCCTTGCTTAATTACTTGTCATAAAATAATTTCATAACAAATAACATCAGTAAAACGATAATCAGTCAAGTAAAAAACTTTATAAAAATAAGGAGATGTGGTATGATTACCAACAAAACAACTATCAACCAGAGAATGCAATTGACAAAGTAATTGATGTCTAAAGACATTGTTAACTGCCAAAAAGTCCATTTTTCAGTAAAACTGGAAAATTAAAAAATAACAACAACAAAATACATTTTGCTACAGATGCTTTTTCTTGAACATGAGGAAACTTTTGTCCAAGTTTCATCAAATTCGAGGGGGTTTGAAAAAGTTATTAATGTTGTAAAGATGTCAATCGTTGACTTTATGTTAACTGAAGAAAAGAACTAAAATGCGTCTATGTCCAAGTTTCATAAATTCAATGAAGGTTTGACAAGGTTCATGGTATTTGTGGACTTCGTCTGACCAATTTCAATGTTGTGATATTTATCTTTCGTGTGTATATGTTATTAACTCATCCTCTGCATTTGTTTGGTTTGTTTAACAACACAAACTTTTATCCATAAGTTTGTATTGGTAATTGTATGCATTGAAAATTGTGTTATTTTTTTGTTGTTTTTTTTTTAAGTAGACGTAAGCCACTATCAACAGTATCAAATTACCTTTTAGATATGACTATGTTTTATAAATGTAACAGGATAGCATAGATTTTTTCACAAATTTCTTCATTATGGTATATCTGTAGTGTTGGTTAAAATTAATATCTTATATCATTTTTCATCGTTTTGGACAGGGACATAATACATTAAGTTATCTGTCCCCTTCTAACGTGAAATGATTTCTTTTAACACTGGATAAGTCAGGTTAAACGGTAGTTTTTACACCAAGAGTTCTAAGGGGGACAATGGAACCATCCCTCCGAAAATGATTTTACGGACACCATCACGAGTTGGTTGACCTTTTATGGAATATCTTTTTCACAGATCACTTCGGAGGTGACATATTGAATTAAATTTATCAACAGGTTTGCACATCAACGGTTTTTATCCACATGTGCAGTGGTATATATAATATACAAACAAACAAATCCTTGTAACCTTTCTAATCCCAACAAACTTGAATACTGAATGAGGACTTTTCATTTTCACCTGTGAAATAATTGCTAGACAATGCATGCAATTATGACATTCCATATTTTCTTAAAATATGTTTACCGTGCAGTAGATTGATATAAATATATTGATGGTGTTTATTTGCCGTATAAACCTTACATGTGATTTTGACCAGCATCCTAGAATTTCAGAACTTAAATTGTTACATACACAGAAAGAAAATCTCAATGTAAATTTTAATAAAACTTGGGAAGATCAGACTCCTTTTCCATGCTGAAAAATGAGAAATTATGGGGAAACAAAAAGGGAAATTTGGAAAATTGGTGTTGTCCAACTTTACCCCTTAAGATGACGAACACACATACATATAGTAATTTAAATATTGTTTCCCTTTTGAAATAATGACAGAATAGGACTCAACAATAGGACAATAAACAAGGAAAGAGTTTCTTACAAATTTCGTAAACTGTGCGATAATTTTTGTTTTGGAACGAGCTTTTATGTGATAGATACTACCATATTTTACTTCCAGTCTTAAAGAAGTATGTGTGAGGAATGCTTTTTTTCATACTTCTGCAAGATACACAAGATAGCCTTTTCTATTGGAATATTGTATGCTTGATTTGTTATATGGTGACTTACAAACGTAGATGTCCATATATTGTTATATCCCAAAACTGTTAACCATTATCTACTTGTACTACACAATTATGTTTAGGTCGTAAATATGTTATTCAAACAAATAAACTGCAATGAAATGACATATTTTTCACACAAAACAAATAAGAATACTAACTGTTATCGTTTGGACATAATTCATTGTAGAAACCACAAGGTGGAGTGTCTGGTGGTGTATACGTTTTACTTGTTAAACCATTTCCCCATCGTATGTCATCAACATCTGTAATCTGAAAATGCAGATTAAATCACTTAAACTCTACAGGTTTCAAAACGTTCTGTAATCGCACTAAGCCACTAATATTTAGCATTTGCTCAGTGAATGAAGATAAATTTTAAATGTTGAAATATTCAGTGTCCTTTTCTAATATTTCATAATTTATTTTCTATACGTTGAATAACAAATTAAGAGTTTAATCAATTCTTATTATCAATTTCCCTTTGCCTCTTTTGCATTGTTCTAATACCGTTATTATTTTCAATATTTAAATATTCAAAAACAAATATCAAAGTATTCACCAAAAGGAGTGTAGTTGTTCTTCAGAGATCAGACCATTAACGATACAAGATATGAAAAAGGGTACATGTATTACGGATTTATATATTCATCAAATAATTATATTACATCAAAGGACGTATTTTCTGTTATACATGTGGTTTTAGTTGATTTTTATATTCCTCCAATAAGACAAGTTAAGCTTTTTGGTTTTTTTTTTTATTGAAGAATAAAATATATCGTTTTTATGAATACAATTTGAAAAATATGACATTGATAATCACAACACCACTTTCCTTCACAAGTCAATGGAAGTCACTTTTGTCGTGTAACATGGGGTTATAAACAAAATATGTTGCATGATTGTCAATGAGACAACTATCTAGCAATGACAAAAATATGTTGATGTAAGCAATTGCCCATACCATAATTTTCAATCAAATGGATCTTCCCGGAGTTTGGCCATGATATGTATTCCTTTCAATACAGGTTTGCTGTAAAAGGTTTGTAGTAATAATATGACTTGCGGGACTATATTTGGATGGGGACAATGCGCGTGAGTTTTGGATCTTACATCCCAAAGGGTAAAGGTGTATAAAACCCTCTTCTGGTTGAAAATCATGGCTGCAAACATTTTGGTGTAGGTATATTAAATGATAGATGTAGTTTTATTTTAAAGTAATCCGGTTTGTCTTCTACGCAGATATTTTAAGCAAAATATTCTTCAAATATTGCAGATATAACAGGTTAAATGTTTTCATTGGTTGAGTAAGAACTGACATGATATTTAAAAAAAGTCAATTCGAATATATCGAGCTAAAACGTTTCGGTGGTTATGTGATTTTAAGATATTGTCATTCGATGTTCGCTTTCGGAACAGCGTGGTTGCCCAACCCTTCTATCCGACAAATGCATCTTTCTATATGAAATAAATGTTTAATTTAGTTTCGTAGAGTACTTGTGCATGCATAATGAAAATTGGTTTATTTCTATAAACTTATTGTTGTGTGTGTTACTTGTAGCGGCTTGGATACATAGAAACTGTGTAACATTACATGGATGTTGTCTTTAATCAAATTAAAATTTGTAACACACTGTTAGACCAGCTGATACCATATAAATGTGTTGAGTTAATTTTGAAAAAAAAAATATGTTCGTCTGAATTTTGGAATTATAATATGATATCAATCGTCTGTCCTATTAAGTTATTGTATAAACTAGATTGCATGAACTGCACTTACCGTTTGAATAGTTCCGTTGATTTTTGTGTAGTACAGATATGCAACAAGTGAAAACATCCCAGTAACGTTTAAATCGTAGATGGACAAATATGGGAAACGGTCAGCAAACTGAGTTAGGATTATTTCCCCTGATAAACCTATATAAGTAAACATGAAATTATTTATGAAAATATATATTAAGATTTTATATTTTGCCTATGTTTTTGGTGTTATCAATTTGTTTGACGTAGATTTTCATTGTCATTTCAAAAACGTCAGATTATGACCTTTATCGTTTTTTGTGTTATCATAAAGTTGAAAACAATACCTTGAAACGAAGCATCGACTGCAGCATTCCTTATACTGGTTCCATTAACAGCAGTTGCATTACCGCCAGTCAAATTTAGAGCTAAACCATACAGCATTACACAGTCATGTAAAAAGATCGAATATGAATCAGGCTGCAATACAGACATAGCAATTTACAAGTCATATATATGATTTTGTAAATATGAATATTTTGAAACATAATGATGCCTTTACGGAGTAGCAGAAAGAAACCAAAAGCTTCAATCGTCTTAAACGTCGACTTTTATTTAACCTTTAAATTGGTTTGACTAATGCTCCTCTTGTGAGTTATATGAAGATAAAAAGCGCGTTATGCATACCAAATAGTAAAATTATCTTTACATAATGAGTGAGATTTGAATCACGGGACTTTCCCTTTTCATTCATTTACTTTCCTTGATTGTAAGTCGCAAATTACACAATTGTATTATATGTACGGATAATCAAAAATGTAAAGAAGATAAGCTTGAAAACTAAAGTGGCATTGAAAACTTCCTGTGTCGGATATGAAAATAGATTGTGTAATTTTGAGAAAAACGCTTAAGATTGGAAGGTTTACACAACGGTAAACATGAAAAATTAAATAAAAGTTACTTACCTTAAAAAGTTTTTCAATGTCCTTAAATTCGTAATTTATTAAGCTTTCTAAATGTTTGAATTGAACGCCTTCATCTTCATAATTTATTAAGTGTAACTGTTTTGACAAAGCACGTATAGTGAGTCTTGCGAAGACGAAACACGCGCTATGTAAAAGTAAAAGTTATTTACTTTGAAAATTCAACCTCACAGGATTTCACTATATGCGGACTTATCCCGAATGATCTCGTCTATTTTCTGTATTCGCCTTTTTTTTTTATATCAATAATACAATTGTTATGCTTCAGTTTTTAAAACTGAAAAGGCTAAAACTTTTAAAAGTTGACGATGTTCATTTGTACATAGACTATAGAATGAAAACGGGGAATGTGTCAAAGAAACAACAACCCACCTCAAGAGCAAAAAACAGTTAAAGCCACTAATGGGTCTTCAATGCAGAGAGAAAATCCCGCACCAAAAGGCGGGCTTCAGCTGGTTTCTAATGAATAGAAGTCAAACAGAGTGTACAATTCGACTTAATGCGGACAAGTTATTGATGAGACATATGAATATGAATATTTGCATATTGGCAGGTATAATTCTATTGTGTTTGAGCTTTTGATTTTGCTACTTTATAAAGAACTTTCCGTTTTGAATTTCCCTTGGTAATCGGTATTTTTGTTTGTTTTTTTTTACTTTTGGATATATCTGTTGTCACAATGACCACAGTTCTTAAAATTCTATAATATGCTTAATTATTATGCTGGTTTTTTTTAATGAGTTTAACAACAACTTGGTGGGTCCCAATACATGTTAGTGTTTCGTATGTTTCAATATTCTTACCTCCATTGCTTTCGGCATATTGCTGTCATTGCCGAACAAAGCCTTTGCAGCAGACACAGCTTTTACTTGCCAATTCTGATCTGTTTCTTTTGTATCACCCAATATGATCTAAAACATTCATTTTATGACACGTTTTTGGTATTGAATAAACCCACCATCTTGTACAGTACTATTCCTTCCTTGCACTTATGTGAAAGTACGTTTTGTAGAATAATTTGTTGACTTATGATGTTATGATTAAAATGTACACAGTTATAGCTTACTATGCGATATGGAATTTGCTCATTGTTAAAGGCCGTATGGTGACCTATTGATGTTAACTTATACGTCATTTGGTCTCTTGTCGAGAGTTGTCTCATTGGCAACCGTACCACATCTTCTTATTTTTACAGTAAGACAGCTACAACCATAAAGCTCTAGTATTTCAATTTTTATCAAACATATTGTGTTTCAAATCCAGTAGACGATTACGAATTCTTATTTGTCACAATATGTTCGCTAGAAGAACTGGTAAAATCAATTCGGTCAAAATTACCGACGATTCTCTGCAAGGTTCTTTGAAAAATAATCTTACTTGTTTTTGACATAAATAAAACATGAACGTCCGCTACACTTCACAACGCAATGTTGCTGTATATTTATTTTTCTATACTTCCAATTCCTTCTTTTTCAAACTTAGTCCCTATAAACTACAAAATGATAATGAAAAGTAAGATATGCTGCTACCTTGACTTTCAATTGGGAGATATAGATTTGTTCAAGTGATGAAGACGTGACGACAAATGGGACAAATAGCCTAACTTTCTTAAAAATAAATTTTGTCTAAATGAATTGCAAAAAAGAGGCGGAAGGTAGACAAGTGATATTCAAGCTCATCAGTCGATGACATATTGACAACAACATAACAAAAAACGAAATAAAAATGGTGACCGTAGACAAAACACAACACAGAAAATGAGCAACGCAACCCCACCAAAACTGGGGATAATATCAGTTGCCTTGGAAGGGTAAGCTGATCCTGATCCACATGTAGGACCACTCGTTGTGTTGCTTATGTGAGTAAATATTTCATGATAAGTTTAATTATGTGATTTCACAGGATTTTTCAGGAAAAAAGGACGGATTGAGATAATGACAATTGGAACACATCTGTCGTCATCTGTGAAACAGATATTCCATAACGAACTACCTAATCATGTTGGTGTCTGTAAAATTTTCGAAAGTATAACTTCAATTTCACCACATTGGTTTAATAGATTCCTTGTAACCAGCAACCTTACAACAAGGAAATCATCGTAGATAATGCAAGTCCTGGAATATTGTATCAACTGTGAGATATATACTCTGTTTACAGGCGCCGTTGACATTTTGCTACATAGAAATGGAAAGTTAACGATTGAAAAGCTGAAATCAACATAATTGTCGTACAATTTTGTTCTAAACCGATCTTTATTGTCCATTTATAGACATAAGTCAAGATATGAGGAAGATTTAACTGAATCTTTTTTATCCCTTTTTCAAGTTCGATGGGATAGATGCGTTCAATATAGTCACCGAGCTTTGATTTATTTAGTGGGAGGACTTCATCTATATACATTACATTCATATAACAGAATGTGAAGTTTAAGGATAATGCTAGGTTCGTTTCATTCTTCCTACGTAGCTCCATTATGAAGTTAACATTTATATTTTTCTAATTGCTGCATATTTGAAATACTGAGTGTTCTTCTTCTATCTATATTAAAACCACCAAACACTTTTACTCGACATTTAAAAGAAAGCGATTTTAGAATAGGAATTTTTCAGTAACATTTAAGAGTCTGGAAAATACCTCCCAAAAAATCCATCATTTGATTTTGTTTTCAATTTATTTTTTCAATTTGTGTTTTGAGTTGATCAAAATATGAATAAAGATTGATGTTATCAGATTATTCGATTAAATGTATTGTTCTGAAAACGGAATTAATCTTTTCCAGGAAAATTCATAGAAATACACTAGTATGTATTTTTACTGAATGAAGCAATGTCTACACCTGATTTAATAATTTTGCGGAAAATTATTTCAACCATGATGATATTAGCTTGCTGTTCTAAAATATGTACCTACATACAAAAGATTTTCAAATCCCCTTCTTGCAGCCTCGTCATCAGCATCACTCTTCTTCCAAAAATCTGTGCTTTGTAGATTTTTCATATCAGCTGGTGATGGCAAAGTAGTTTTGACATAGAAAAATTGATAATCTCCACTAGACATTCCAAGTCTATCAGCATGGATCATATACTTTCTGAGTTCCGAATCAGATACCACCAAAATAATAACTGTAATTAAATTTGCAACAAATTAACATTTACCTTAGATAATTACGCTGATCTCTGTTCAAAACAAGATTGCTAGAGATAAAAATTAAGAAATTCTGCCAAAACTTGTCGTTTTTTTTAAAGTAATAAATAGGCACCTTACGTCGGTAATGCATTATATTCAAGAATTTGCAATAATAGCAAACAAGGTAAATAAAAAGAAGAAACATATGCGACGCACCATTTAAAATTTTATCCAGGACTGCTTAAGGTCAACTTTAGGTTGAGGGATCTTAAGCAATACTTTAATTTACAAATCTTAGAATGCATCAAACGGCAAATGATAAATCAATTGAAGTACATTGATAATTCATATCCTGACAGGCAAAGGAGTAAACAATTATCAGGTTGACCTTGCCCATCAGTTCGTTTTATTTACTTTCTTTCTGTGCAAAAGAAGCTGTAAAGCATAAATACAGAACTAGTATTAATATAAGCAGTGCATATAAATGAATATAAGGAAAATTACAGTTTCATCCGAACTGTACGCTAAGCAATATGTTAAAAAAGTCTTTTTGAATTGATAGGTCACTTAATTGTTTCAAGTTCAGATAGAGTCTGTAAAATGTGATCACGGTAAATGAAAAAGTGTCTTCTCAATCCTTTCCTTCTAGCTTCTGTCATATATATGCTTTTCTTTGAAAAGTATTAAACATAAAAGGCATAAATATCTCATCTCCCATATAGACTAGAAATGATTTTACAAGTATAGTCGACTGATCTGTAACTTAATCGAGTTTGTACTTTACGGATATAACTTTTTCCTTAATCTATACATGGGCTTAGATCTATATTGTTTTCTTGTTTATACATATAAAGAATATTTTTTTTGTGTCTTAAGAGGTTATGTCCTTCACAGAGAAATCCATGACAGGACGATAAAAACAATGCCACACAATCAGCCTACTCAGTTTGTATTTTGCATAAGTTAGTTAGTACTACTAAAGGTCTAACAGGTTCATCACAATTTGATCGGTCGGTCTAAAACTAAAATAATGGGAAAAAATAACAGGGGCAATCTAAAATGTTCCGTCCAATAAAATATTCTGGACAAAAAGAAATAAGACAGACAGATAAACAACAATCCATAAAAACACTGAGTCTAAAGATTGAGTGCAGCAAATTCACCAAGCACTAGCTTATACCCTGAGTGTTTCACAATTTATTTTCGGCTTTAAGAACATAAATGGTACTAAGTCTAAGTAATGTCTCTTCAGTACTACTGAAATTAATTCATTAACGGCGATGTGCGTTCGGTGTTCGATTTTTTTATTTCTCGTCATCATGCATGACTTAATTTGTTGGATATTTTCTACAAGTTATTATTTGAACCCCATTATAGGCTTCAATGTTACAAACGATCTTGTGACGCTTGGTTTTTGTAGACCACATTTTTTAACAATATTTGTGCGTTTCCCTTTTGTAAAAGTTTGGGACTAGACTTACACAAATCACAACTGGTACCTACTTCTGCCTTCATATTTGATAGCATTAAACATTTCATCTAGGGATGTTCCACTGATGTTGGTGCTGACCTGACTGTAATGATGAACTAGATTAAAACCAATGACAGAGAAAGATTGTACAGCTGCTTCTAGTGAATTTGCATATGCAATACTTTCTGGCGCTGCAGTCGATATCATAACCAAACGGAACCAGTTGAGTCCACTGAAAAACAATATGCCAATGCCACCTGCAAATAATATTCAAATAAGTTTTGCCAGTGCAAAATTAATTACAAATGAATTAATAAAAGCAACATTAGTATACCGCTGTTCAATAGTATACATGATTTTTTTAATAAATAGAAAATAAAAGGATATGGAGTAAATGTACATGGGACAAAATCGCACACAACACATAGAAAAAATAAAAAAATTATCAATGAACAGGGCTTTTATTCCTGTTCTTCATCTTGACAGTTGATGTAGGGTCTTCAACAATGAACGAATTATTCATACCCTACACCATGGTCAAGACGGCCCCTAAGCGGTACTATTGATAAAAATAAACCACAGTTCACCTTCTTGCTCCCCACTCGCCTCGGAGTGCCAACTTGTGCGATGCTTGTGTACGACGGTTCTCCAGTCGAAAGCACCAGGGATACAAGAAAAGTGCAGTAATTTTGAAAGACATCGATCGCCGCTAAAATATACTTTGAAGTTACACATGTCGGGAGCGGTCAATGAATTACATAATTTATAATTACGGGCGAGGTTTTTCAGCATATATTTGTCATACATTGCCCAACAAAAGACCAATACATTGGAAACAACAAATGATAGACAATACATATAAAACTAAACAACAAATGATAGACAGCATGGGGCACATCGAAATATATGTAAGAAAACCTAGCAGTTTAAAATAGTATGAAAGGGCAAAATACAAAACAGATGACCAGACCAGTATTTTGAAGAAATTAAGAAAATACTAAATAGCCAAACATGAAATTTTGACGGTGTATTAATATGATAAATTCTCACATGAACAAGCACACCATAACTGTAAATATTATAAGAGCATACACCTCAAGCACGGGGAAACGTTCTACTGCTTGCACACAGCACTAGAGACAAACTCTAGACTCAATAGAAAATAAAAGGATATGGAGAAAATGTACATAGGACAAAATCGCACACAATACATAGAAAAAATGAAAAATTATCAATGAACAGGGCTTTTATTCCTGTTCTTCATCTTGACAGTTGATGTAGGGTCTTCAACAATGAACGAATCATTCATACCCTACAACAAGGTCAAGACGGCCCCTAGCGTCGACTTAAGCGGTACTATTGATAAAAATAAACCACAGTTCACAAAACTTACTTGAAAATTAAAAAAAATCGAAGTGTTGCTGAATACATATTTATATTATGAATTAGATCTTTTCGATGTAAAATAGAGGCGAAAGATACCAGAGGAACATTTAACCTGATAAGTCGAAAATAAACTAACATCACCATGGCTAAAAAAGAAAAAGACCAACAGACAAACAATAGTACACAAAACACAACATAGAAAACTAAAGACTGAGCAATACGAACTCCACCAAAATGGGGGTGATCTCAGGTGCTTCGGAAGGGTAAGCAGATCCTGCTCCACATTTGGCACCCGTCATGTTTCTCATGTTATTACAAACCCACCCGGTAATAAGTATAATTCGGTAGGTAACATTCGTGATAAGGGGACGGGATTTTAGTTACGACATTAGGAACATATCCGCTATCATCTGTAAAACCGATATTCCATAACGGTCAACAACTTGTAATGGCGTCCGTAAAATTTCCGAAGGGATGATTTCAACTTCACAATTTGGAACTCTTGGTTTAATAGCTTCCTTGTGAGCAGCAACCCTCTATCATGGGAAATCATGATAGGAAATACAAGCCCGGGAATATCTTATCAATAGGGAGATATATACTCCGTATGCAGGCACTGCTGGAATGTAGCTATATAGAAATAGAAAGTTCACAATTGGAAAGCTGCAATCATCTTTTTTGTCGTAAAGTATTGTTTTCAACCGACCCTCATTGTCAATTTCTAGGTGTAAGTCAAGATATGAGGCAGATATAATTGTATCTGTTGTATCCTTTATCTCAAGTTCAATGGGATAGATGCGTTCAACATAGTCACCAAATTTTGAATTATTTAGTGAGAGAACATCATCTATATAGCGGAAAGTAAAGTTAAAGGATGTAAGACAGGTGAATGATACCAGAGGGACATTCAAACTCAAAAGTCGAAAATAAACTGACAACGATATTGCTAAAAAAGAAAAAGACAAAGACAAATAGACAACCAAAAGTACACAAAACACAACATAAATAACTAAAGAACCCCACCAAAAACTGTGGTAATCTCAGGTGCTCCGAAAGGGTAAGCACATCCTGCTCAACATGTGGCACCCGTTTTGCTCATGTTGGTACAAACCCGGTTATAAGTCTAACTTGATATGTCACATTCGGGAAAATGGGATTGTAGTAACGACATTAGGAACATATGTAAATTGCAACATTGATAATATTTTACACATGCAACTGAAAAAAAAAACTTTAAATGTTTAATGAAGAATTCAATAATTTATTTTCTAAAAATCTAATTTTAGGAATGTTACAAATTAACAAAAAGATTATGGAATAAGAATTATTGCATTTAAACTAAATATCTTTATGTTGTTGTTTTTTTTTTTCAAAACGAAAAACAAAATTACACAGATTTTATATCACGACATTTCTCTGAGCAATGACTTGTTTGATAGGTAATAAGCCGCTTATAGTTTCATACTAATCCCTTCAGCAAACTAATGTAGTCATTGATACGAAAATCATATATTCTTATGAAAGCTTACCATAATATCTTATTGAGGATATGAAATATATATTAAATTCATGATAAACAAAGAATAACCTTCGTAAAACTAAAACTGTATCGATATTCTTTATAGAATTGCGCAACTAAAATTCAGCATGTGAATCAAGAAATCCACATCATATTCCCTATGCAATATAATGTCAAGTCTAGTCGATACATCTGACTAGTCACTTTAATTTTCTTATTTTCAGTAATAAAACTTACAAAATACATTACTAGACATACAAAGAAAACTGATAAGACCATCAGTCTTTTGCTTGATATTATTCATTTTCGTTTTGGAGATAGCTATTCCGTGAGTACTTACGTTTTTTCTTAGATTCATTTCCTTAGTATTATGAATAACAAGCAATTAACTTACCGAATAAAACCCCAACAAATACCACTGGATAGATGCAAGATTGCTTTAGGTGTTTTCACTTCATTTCTATATTGAGAACATATTTGCGAGATTATAGAATCAGAATAATCTACCGTTGCCTTTTATTGAACAAAGCCTATAGATATTTTGAAGATATGTTCTACATAAGTAAAACGATCCTATTTTTTTTCGAAATATGCAATTTATACTCATCAGGTCAAGTAAATCTAATTTTATTTGACGGAATGATTGACTGAAGTCTTTTGTAAAAAAAAATCACTCGGATTCGAACAAAACATTATCTGAAATTTACATTGTCAAGATGCTTGACTTCTTGATCGACAACATATTTGTTACAATAGCCATGGGAACCAACTGTGTTCCTCTCCTTGTCGACTTGCTCCTTTAGTTCATATGACCAGACTTCAGATTGAACTTTTTAGGAAAAATGAAAAGAAGCTAGTATTATCTTTTAACTTCTCGTTCCGCTATTAAGATGATGTCCTCTCACTAAATAATTCACGATTTGTTGACTATGTTAAACATATAGCTATCCAATTAAACAAAAGATACAGCAGATGCAGTTACAAAATATATGATTTTCGCTTCCCAATTTTGAACGTTCGATTTCTATGTAGCAACATTCCAGCATCAGCGTATGCATATGAAGTATATATCTCCCAGTTGATACGATATCAAGAGCTTCTTTTTTCTATCATGATTTCCTTGATAGACGGTTGCTGCTTACAAGGAAAATTTCAAAACTGCAAGAGTTCCAATAGTGAAATTGAAATTATCCGATCGAAAATTTTACGAACGCCATCATGAGATGGATAACCGTTATGGAATAACGATTTCACAGATGACGACGAATATGTTTCAATTGTTATAACCACAGTCCATCCTCTTTTCCCCGAATTTGACATTCCGATTTTATACTTATTACCTGGTTTGTACTTACACGAACAATTCGACAGGTGTCACATGTGTAGCAGGATCTGTTTACCCTTCAGGAGCAACGGAGATCTCCCTCGGTTTTTTTTTGATAGGGTTCGTGTTGCTCAGTCTTCGGTGTTTTATGTTGTGTTTAATGTACTGTTGTTTGTCTTTAATGCTATTTTTGTTGTCGGCATGGCATTGTCAATTTTTGATTTGTGAGTTTGATTGTCCCTTTGGTATCTTTTGGTAACCTTCCGTTTGTCTAATAATTTCGAGTAACTGTTTCAACCCTGCCAAACTATATGTCTCAAATCAGGAACCTTGTCAGTGGATGCCTTATGTCAAATGTTAAAACTTGTTTTAATACTTGGTGATGATGGCAGATCATTGATAGTCTGGTTAAACTCAAATTTTCCGACATCAACGTTTGGAACAGAATTTGGAAGAAAGTAGTTGAATGTTATATAAATGGATCAGTATTAATTAAATTTACCTAGTTGAGAGAGCGGATAAATAACACGGACTAGGGTGGTCACTTTAGTTTTATCATCCAGGCTTTCTTCGTTTGCTAACCAACTAAACACAGGTATATCTCTGTAGGATGCTAGTTCGGCGATAGGGATCATTGCTGGAACATTCAATTTGAAGCATAATTCAAAAAACTTCCAAGATATCTTAATATAGCAACAAGAAGACATGGCAGGAATGCGTAAAGATAATTATGAATTTTTATGTATCTGTAATGTCTGTTTCTTAATTTATTTTTAAAAATATAAACCACTGTGCAATGGTTATTTACTATTATTACATTGGTAGCATTGAATTACATTGATTTCCCAGTCAAATAAAAACCGATAATTTCACATGTGAAATAAACGTGGTTATTTCACTCTCTGACGTCATACAACAATAGGCGTTGTCAAGACGTCGATAACGTCGGATCAAAACAAATTGTGAATGCGTAGAAAAAAGATATAGTTCCTTACATTTTCTACATTAATTTCATTAAAAAAAGCCACTTGCCAATGAAATAAAAAGAATAACTAATCAAAAAATTCAAATATCGAAAAATATTCAACTCGTGACCGAACAACACTGATAATTAACTCATGCGCTACGCGCATTCGTGAATTAATGTGTTGTTCGGTCACTCGTTGAATATTTTTCTCTATTTGAATTCTTCGATTAGTTATTCTATAACTATTACATATTGCCCAAATTTAAAATGTTTTTTTTTTTTTTTTTAATCTTACACGTTCACTATCTAATCGTTCAAATTTTAAAGAAATATCAAAAGCTTATAAATGTTCAGGAAAAGTTGAGGAATAGCTCGACATTAAATATTGAATTAGAGACTGTTCTTGTCATTAGTCTACAATACTGTATGGGTTTGCTCATTTATAAGTGTCTCAAGCTACGTCACTTTGTATCTGGTGGAAATTTGTCTCAGTAGCAATCTCCCAACATCTCTCTATTTTTTTATATTAGTAAATGAATTAGAGACGAGACTGCTCTTATCATTAGTCTACAATACTGTATGGGTTTGCTCATTTATAAGTGTCTCAAGCTACGTCACTTGGTATCTGGTGGAAATTTGTCTCAGTAGCAATCTCCCAACATCTCTCTATTTTTTATATTAGTAAATGAATTAAAAACCCATTAAAACATTAAAAACTCATTGGCACCAGCACATAATCCCCTTTTAAAGACTTTCTATAAGTGATCGAGTAAATATTAAAATGTATACAAGGTGCTATAATAATTAACAACACTGATCTAACCATCGTATTACACGAACTTGACACTGTATGTTTCATAAAGGATGCAAATGAGATACGAGTTTGAAAGAGGATCTTCCTTTAAATATGTATGATGAATATTTTTATTGTTGGATCGAAAAATGCAACCAGATGTTATTAAATTTTTAATCAACATTAATCATTAATCTACGTTGTTTCAGAAATTATTGCTATGTTTTTATTAATGCGAACATTGCGTAAGTTTCAAGCTGAATAATAAAACTCGCAGTCACAATTTCGGTAGTAATTTTCTTTCATAATTATTATATAACTCATTAATAAGATTTCACATATTTCCCAGAGGACAAAGATTTGCATTAATTTCTGAATTTATAGTATCTCAAACATTTCCAAGTTAAAGCGACTGTCCATCATGCGATAGCTTATGTTATTTATTAAGATGTTTGATATGCAAGTACTTTCTATTTGTGTCTTGATGGAGTTGTTGAAACCAATAACAATGGAAGTGTAATGTTATATCGAATGAACGTTATTAACTTTTGCTCGTCCATTTTCATATTAAAGAGTAATTTTCTCATATTAAGTTCTTCTTTCCACCATTATTATTTATTATTCTATTCTGTATTTTTTAGACTGTTGAGTTTTCGTCGTCTTACGTTTTTGTGCCATGACTGTGTCAGTTTCTCTTCGACTCGTGAGTTTTTTAAGTCCCCTTTGAAGGTAAATCCAGAAAAGCGCTTCGGAGGCATGAAATTTATAACGTGTTGTTTTTATTTTTTACAGCACTGGGTCGATACCTCTGCTGGTGGACTTTAATTCACCGAGGTTTTCGTCAGCTCAGTAATCAGTACTTCGATACTGAATTATTAGAAACTAAGGTTTCAACTTCCTCAAGCAAAGTTGACCTTAGATGGATGTGGCTATTTTTTAGGTCCATTTTGGTAATTTAGTTCTTCAACTGTTTCGATTTTTAAACATCCTTGGCTTTCAAATATTCGGTTTTGAGCTTTCCTGATGAAGGCGCTTCGGACGCATGAAATTTATAACGTTGTTTTCATTTTGTATATGTTCCGTCTCCTTTTTATCCATCTAATGGGTAGCATTTTATAATTAACATTTTACCTTCAGTACATGGTGGTCCTATAATGACGTCAACATGGTGTTGTACCAGATAATCAGTCAGGATCCCGATACTCTGTTTGCTGTTACATCCAGAGTCCAGATAGGTCACACTTAAAAATGTATCAAAATTAATAAATACGATTATTTCAGGGAAGATGGAAAATAAGACTTATTCTTTTCAGCTACACCTATTTTGCAACTGATTGAAAAAAAAATACCATTTGAAGAATTCCTGAAGTGTATCACAAACTTTGGCTTTTGCATGATTCTTATGTAGATTTTTTGTAGTAAGGGAGAACATGATTTATTTATTAGTTCTTATTGGCTTTGAATTAGTTTCAGTAACTGCCAGTAGTCTAATATCGGTGCTTTGTGTCGTTTGTTTTATGTTAGTCGTTTTCCTTCTTACCGATCGTTTGGGTTAAGATAATTGTTACCGATTTTTACAGTTTGGTTCTATGTTGTACTGTTACGCCACTGTCCCATGTTAGAAAGAGGGTTGAACGCTCACAAACATGTTTAACAAGCCAAATTATTTGTGTGCCTGTCCCAAGTCAGGAGCCTGTAGTTCAGTGGTTTTCGTTGGTCCAAGACTGTCATTTTTGTTTTTCGTAAATTGTTTTGTCATAAATAAGGTCGTTTGTTTTCTCGATTGCATTGTTTCATATTTTTTCATGGGGGTTTTCTCATTGCTGAAGGCCGTACGGTGACCTATAATTGCTCATATTCATTTCATTGGAACTGTGGTGGATAGTTGTCTCATTGGCAATCATGCCACAGCTCCTTTTTTCACTACGTAAAATATTCGTTATACAGTGCTGTTTACCATTCTTGATAAGACAACGTTAACAAGTAACAATTCTTTCTTGACTTTATTGACTGCATTCAATTTTTGAGAGATGTATAATAAAAATAATTGTTTTTTTTTTATTTAAATCTTCATTTCAACACAAATAAGAACGCTTTCTTATTACAGTTCTTTAGTTCAGTGTCGGGTTTAACGTCTAAGTATCAAATGGACGTTGCCAGTTATGCATTAATATAACCAAATGTACACACCCTCGTAGCAAAGATCACATGGTCGCACGGGAAAATTTAGACAGGCCACTTCTTATATGAAAAAACTTTACATCAGCTTAGCAAAGGATAAAGATCAAATAAAGTCAGTACTAGTTCAAGCTTGTATGGTTTATCATACTTGTGGTGACGAAAAAACATTTTTAATGCGACACAAAAAATGTTCATTGAGATAAAACAATCAAACTCCTCCAGTACTCTAAGAACAGTAAACTACATTTCAACAACCATGTAACAAAAATTAATTGAAGTTTTTTTATTTGCAGACTATACGTCTAAGAAGTCTAAGAATTGTTTCAACGGAATTATAAACATAGTAATAAAGCTCATTATATTTTAATTTATAGGTTTTTTTCTTACTGACTTGTATCTTTGTGTCTAGTTTTGCGATTGTCTAATCTCAAGTAAACTTTTTATACAAATACAACTACAGGAATAGCCAACATACTTGATGTAAACTGTAGAAAATAATTTACACTTACTTGTCATTTTATTTTGCTATGACATAATGAAGAAATTGATTTACCTTATGGAATTATTTGGTAGTATTCCTTGGTTGTAGATTTTCTGTAAAGCCAGTGACAATGCTGGCAAGGAGGTAGAAGCGTTGACTAGAAGACTGGACCCAGGTATTAGACTATATGGTGCCATCCATACCATTTGTGTTGTATTTATCACAGTCGGTCCAATAAAAATTAATAAAAGACGTGAAAATAATCCGTTAATCAACATGTTTTGTGCGTTCCTCATATCTTCAAATTATCAAGTTATATGCCATTATAATTATTGAAATTTCTCTTTTTGGCACTATTAAACTTCACAATATGTTTCAATCAGTCAAAGGTGAAGTTCAATTCGGAAACAATTGCACTGAAAAAACGCCATCCTTAAGTCGCAGTATAGGTTATCCTGCTAGCAGAGAGCACTGTCAGAATTCTTTAACAAGTATTATTAAATTTTCCGTAAATTTTCATCAGGATAATTATCTCTAATCATAAAGTGTATCTTCAATGGACATTAAACATACGATCCCCATAATATTAATTGATAAATTTCAATTCTAAATCTGACTTCTTTGTTAATCACCAATCTCAATGATGGATCATCAATGAAAACATTTTACGTAAATGACTTTCCTGTTCAAATAGACTTATTTAAATGTAAACAATCGTACAGGGAACAAACAACCAAAAACACATTCCAACAAATTGTAAAAGTCAACATTGTCATTTGATCTCTATAGCACAAGCACTTAATCTCTTAGTCAATTTTAAAGTTGAGTTCTTACAGAAATCTAACTAATTACTATTCTAACCTTATATTTGGTTAAATCCAGAGTGCTAAAATGACATCAATTCTTAAGGTTTCAACAATTTCAATATACCATGGGAGTTTACTGATATAACATCAAACTGAATATTACATAAGATACTCAAATAAATTTACCTGTTTTAAAATGGTTGAAAGAGTTCCATTAAAAAGGAATGATAAAAGAAATGTCATTTCGATACCATTTGAATCGCAAAGAAAACAATCTGTCTTTTTTTAAGAATTTGAAATCAAATCCGTTACATCGACACTCAATATTCTAATTACGCATACATAGTTGTCAAATTTCGTTATTTGTTTAAAATATCCTTAATACATCCTATATGTATAACATAATCAGTTTAATAGGAAAATATGTGATGCAACTTTTTTTGTTCTATACATTTTTGCCAGAACAGGCATTTTGCACCTTGGTGGAAAAGTCCAGCATAAACAATATCATGTTTGGTTAATTTGTCTCCAAATGTGAGATAGGTTTTCAAATTGGAACACACTCGTCGTTGTAATTTAAAATTTTCTGATTAGTTTAAGGAAATTGATAAATATTTTGTTCCTTTTCAAGTTGCACAGCCTTTCTTTATTTGACTGGTATCTATTTTTATTAAATTAATAATCTTAAAACATATTTGGTTTTTTTTTATCCACTTAAATGTAATCTAAGAAAATTTGATTTTTTATCTATAAAAGATTTAATTTTCTTAGATTTTAATACTAAGAACATAAAGCTACGGTTTTTCTAACTTTTTTCAGTTTTTTACTTTTAGTGTTTATAACAATAGCAATACCACGGATATGAGGAAAATACGCCTGTATATGTGGAGAATACGCCTTGTATATGTGGAGAATACGCCTTGTATATGTGGAGAATACGCCTAGTATATTTGGAGAATGCGCCTTGTATATGTGGAGAATACGCCTTGTATATGTGGAGAATACGCCTGTATATGTGGAGAATACGCCTGTATATGTGGAGAATACGCCTTGTATATGTGGAGAATACGCCCTGTATATGTGGAGAATACGCTTGTATATGTGGAGAATACGCCTAGTATATTTGGAGAATACGCCTAGTATATGTGAAGAATACGCCTTGTATATGTGGAGAATAAGCCTTGTATATGTGGAGAATACGCCTTGTATATGTGGAGAATACGCCTTGTATATGTGAAGAAAAAAACTCAATGACATCTAGAGGTCAATATGCTGTCAAGTATTGTCAATATAGATCGTTACTGTTCTTAGCAGCCACTTGACTTTAAGCAAACAACAATCAATCAATCTTAATAATTTCATGTAAATTAACAGTGTCGTTCGCTATCAACATTTTCTTAATACACACGTTTATCTTGTAAAACTACAATTGTTAGTTTAATGTTTTTATATGAAGTTTTTTTACTCCAATTATTGTTGAGTTTCTTAAAAGCAAAATAGCTGACAACTGTCCCGATAAAAATCTAAAATATCGAGATCCAAAAGTTTTTTAATAGATTTAAGTTAAGATTTTTTCTTCAGGACAAAAAATCTTTATCAAGATTTAAATTTCGAACTGAAATCATATAAGAAAGTAAGATCACTGCTATCGAAATGGTGTGGGTTCATTGGACAATTTCTAATACACAGTCACGTCCGTAGAAAGTCACAATATCCGAAATAGATGACAGTGATATTGAGTTAAACTTTGAACACTAAATTTATCCATTTCCATCATTATTGATGTTTTTCAACGGTTTATTTCTTTCTTTTTCTTGTAGCATTGTTCTATGTCCGCTGCACTTCAATTGAAGACAAAACAATTCTGAAATTAATAATAGGGTCCATGATATTCCCATTTCTAGAATAAAAAATAAACTCCAAGTACTCGCAGAGCGGTTTGTGTTCGTATCGGCAGACAAGGTAGCCAATAATGTAGTGGTAGTATGACGCATATACTACACGGAAGTTCTTCAAAACGAAATTATCAATTCCTCTACATTCAGGTCCGTACGCACCACTGAGAGTCAAATCGTTAACAAGCATATCACTGCCACTACCCAGCTTAAAGCCTCTTCCGAACATTTGAAAGTCCCTACCATGTACTGGTTACCGAAATTACACAAAAAACCATTTAAATTCCGTTTCATCTCCGCATCTAGTAAGTGTTCTACTACTAATATATCAGTACTACCTCCCTTACTACTATCAAAGAACTGGTTATTAACTTTTGTAATAAAGCTTATGAAAATAATGGTATTAATTATTTTTGGGGTGTTAAAAATTCTTTAGAGGTTTTAGATAAAATACATGCTTTTGATGGTCCTTTTGGTTCTGTTGACAGTTATGATTTTTATACTCTCTACACTACACTTCCACACAATCTAATAAAGAAAAATTTTTCATATTTAATAAAATGGACTTTCGAAAAATCTCATTGTAAATTTATTTGCTGTAACTCGTTTAAAGCCTTTTTCTGTGACGAAAAAGGAAAGTATGCTAGATACACTTACCGGAAATGTGAGGATATGATTTAAGCTTTAAATTTTCTCCTAGATAACATATATGTACGTTTCGGCGATAAAGTGTATCGTCAGGTAGTAGGTATTCCTATGGGCACTAACTGCGCCCCTTTAATAGCAGATTTATTCCTGTATTGCTATGAATCTCAGTTTATTACCAAACTCAGTAGAGACACATCATTGTTACATTTGGTTGATACATTCAACTATACCTACCGTTATCTGGATGATATTTTTTCGTTAAATAATCCAGAGTTCTCTAAATATACTACCGAAATTTACCCAAAAGAACTTTAAATCTAACATAAACAGCAGCAGTTGTCCTTTTCTAGATTTAGACATTTCAATTTCTAAAGGGAAACTCCATACTAAAATTTACGACAAAAGAGACGATTTTTCATTCCCTATTGTTAATTTTCCTTTTTTAGACGGCGATGTGCCTTTGGCTCCATCATACGGTGTTTATATATCCCAACTCGTTCGGTATGCCCGTGTGTGTAGTGATGTCATAGATTTTAACGAAAGTAATCAATGCATTACTGGTAAATTATTAAGTCAGGGATTTCGTTACCATAAATTACTTAAAACTTTTACTAAATTCTTTCATAGATACAAAGATTTGATTAGTAAATTTGGCTGTACCTCACATCCTAAATTTTATGGTAATATTGTACTTAAAACGCGGAAATCATTGTGTGATCCGTGTAAACTCCTTGAACCTTTAAACAAACTTATTAGTAATGGTTATCGTACCAATGTTGTAATTAGATCTCTGAATATAGTTTACATTGGCACTAATATCGATTTTGTCATTAGCAAATTAAAACATAACTAAATTTGTATTTTCTTTTCAAACGGGATGTATAGAGACACACACACGTTCATTTTTATCTATAAAGAAGTCACTCCTAACTATCCTACTACCTGTCGATACATTTATTTTTGGCATTGCACAAGTCATGTCTTCTTTGACTGTTCATGACGTTAAAATACTAAATCCCTGGGATGTATTTTAGTTGATTTTAGTCTCTGATGCATGATTTTTTTATTATTAATTGTTTTGGCTTTTAACTAGCTGTTAGTAACTGCGAGTACTCTCAAATCGTACTTTCTTTTTAATTTGACCTGTTGATACTATTTGTAATGCTTTTTTGTTATTTAATGTTAACATGGATCGTGTCTATATACCAGCTTTGATTATTTGGTATTTAATTTATTACTAATTTTCACTTCTTCGTACTATGAACATCAAAATTATTTCATTTTTCCTTAGATGCTGTTCTTGGACCTGAACATGAAGTTTTATCTAGCACTAATTGTATATTTTTATTGTTGATATTCACCCCATATGTACCAAGTGTTAGATTAGTTTTATTGATATTAAAGAAATTTCTTGGTATTCCTAAACGGAAGATTTTATACACACAGAAGAAGAAGTATACTTAACAACAAAATTATTTTCATTTACCTGTGTATAATATGACGCAGGTTTCTTCAAAAGTGATGATTTTCTAAAAATTGTTTGAAATTTCACAGTGATATCATACTTTAACTTTGTTTAAACCTGTTTATTTACTTTTGACTTTAATTATTTATCCCTTGTAATTTTTTATTAACTGTGTATTTGCATTCAGGTGTCACAGGTCAAATTTATTCGTTCATTGTGTGTTAATTTACGTTTTTTGATTGAGTTAAGCCTTCCAATTGATATTTTATAGTGTGTTTTTCTATGTTGTGATGTTATACTACTTTTTCAGAAAAGGGAGAAGGTTTGGTACCATTAAAACGTTTAATCCCGCTGCAAATGTTTGCACCTGTCCTAAGTCAGGAATCTGATTACAGTAGTTGTCGTCTGTTTATGTAGTTCATACGTGTTTCTCGTTTTTCGTTTTTATATAGATTAGACCGTTGGTTTTTCCGTTTGAATGGTTTTATACTAGTAATTTTTTGGGGCCCTTTATAGCTTGCTGTTCGGTGTGAGCCATTGCTCCGTGTTGAAGGCCGTACCTTGACCTATAATGGTTTACTTTTATAAATTGTAACTTGGATGGAGAGTTGTCTCATTGGCACTCATACCACATCTTCCTATATCTAAGACAAAATGTTTTGAATTAAGATAACAATAGCGGGTCCCGATATGAAATTAGTTCATAAAGTATTTACCATGGAAGGAACATTATGATGTAATATTTGAATGAAAGACGAACTGATAAACGTCATTCAAGGCTTTCACTGTCTTTAAAGTACACAAGCATGTACTATTGAATTTCCGTAAACACACGTGACATCTAGCCTACGCGAGAGTTGTATGTTTCCTATCATTTGTTTACTGTTATTTTCAGCTGTTATTGGGACATTTGCTGCGTGTACGTTTTTATCAAATATAAACAAAACATTGCTGCGTGTACATTTTTATCAAATATAAACAAAACATTGGTGCGTGTACATTTTTATCAAATATAAACAAAACATTGCTGCGTGTACATTTTTATCAAATATAAACAAAATATTGGTGCGTGTACATTTTTATCAAATATAAACAAAACATTGCTGCGTGTACATTTTTATCAAACATATTAAAACAAAACATATTCTCGGTATTGTACATAAGACACACTTCCTTTTCATTTATAGCGTAGCAAAATTCTGACTATTTTGCCAGAGCAGGCAAAACAACAACATCTTTTTACTTGCTATCTTTGGAGGTTGGGTATGATCTGGTTAACAACCAAATAATTCTCTCATGAACTGTGTCTATATTTATTTCCAAGCTGCCAAAGTTAGGGAAGTCATATACTTAAGAGAAAGAACTTAATAGCCTTACATGATAAGAAACGTCAGCTATATATAAGAGTCAACCGGTCTTATAAATCCTGTCGTAATGGGCTGACCTTTTAATTATCTATTGATTAAACGCAGTTGTCCACGTTAAAGGGAAATATACATAAGGTAGGCTCTTTGTATTTAAAAAAACAAAACAAAAATAAATTAGACATAATTTTGGATTCAAACAATTTGGATATATTGCGCATGTAGTGATGGACTGGGAAAGCTTATTTTTTCTTCGCAACACAATAAAATTTTGAAGGGCGAACAAAATGTGCTTCTAGTTAATACAGTGAAAGTTTTAATATGTAGAGGATATGTCTTAAATAACTGTATACAAAGAATTAGGAGACTAAAAGGTGCCCACCCCTTATCATCTAATGATGAAATACGCAGCTCTTGGATATCATGCAGCAGCTGGTATACGATGCTAATAACCCTAGACCGTCAGAAGTAAGGCTAGATTTTCAAAATGCATAAAAATTGGAAGAATATGCCGGTGATTGTTTTAGTCTAAGGAATTCAAACTATTCAGTAAGTATATTATGCCTACCCTGATTTGGTATGCCAATATTGAAGCCTCCAGAAAGGCAACACACTAAGAGATGTTAAGAACAAAACATTGATTTTCAAAATTAGGTTACATTTTGTAAATTTAGAACAAAAAAACTAAATTTGTCAATGGACACATTATTGTTTTGCTCTTAAAAGATTTTTTTTAAGGTGAAGATGCTAGACTTTTTGTATTCAAATTCAAGTGTTTATATTTTCATTGCGAAATTTAAATCCCTAGGGCAACATGTTTTAACTTTTGAATTTATTTCTGTATTTACAGTAAGACTACGTTTACAGCTCAATATCCTCTTTTTTGGTATCGAATTTTATTTGAAAAAGGGAAAATATTTTAAAAAGATTTACTTGTTATAGATGTTGAAATTTTCATTTATATTATAAGCTCTTTAATTTTAAACTAGTGCCAAAATTTTATCATCTCACCTTTTCAGGGCCAAATTCTTGAGAACCATTTATATTTATTGTTTGTTCTCATTTAAATATTATTCTATATAATCTACCTATTTTGTGTTCCTTTCGACAGAAGCAGCTTACGACAGACAGACACCATGGACGCCAAGGAGTTTAGAAAACGTGGGCGGGAAATGGTAGATTACATCGCCGATTACCTCGAGAATATACGAGAACGTGATGTGGTTCACAAAGTATCTCCTGGATACCTTAAAGATCTTTTGCCAGATGAAGCACCGAAAGATCCAGAAAATTTTGATGAAGTTTTCAAAGATATTGAACGAGTGATAATGCCCGGTGTATGTATTTCATAGAGATCTGCCCTTATATTATTTGTTTCATAGCACCTATAAGATAAATCTATTATAGTTTAAAGAGAGTTGTAACGTTTTGTTTTTTTTTCCATCATCAGTGAATATAGAAAGTTTTTACTGTTCAACTATTAGTATTTTGTCTATTTATTTGCTCTCTTCTAAGAAAGTGTGTTAGGTCGTAGCCGGGTCGGTTATCAAAGTGCGCCATAGACTTCGGTTCTTTTCCTGTTTTCAATTGTTGTGTTTCTGTTTTGTATCAACAACTAAAATTCGAAATACAAATTTTCTTTTCATTTTTTCAAATATTCAAACTATACTTCAGAAGAACGTTATTGAAATGCATGATGATATAAGCCGCTAACCGATACATTTCACAAGAAAACCATAAGACTCGTCATACATCTACTTCTTGCTTCTTCCGCTGAATTTATCTGGTTGCAATATAAAAGTTAGTATTTGATAATGATAATTTATAACTTTTGCAGGTAACACATTGGCATAGTCCATATTTCCACGGATATTTTGCTCCCGGAAGCTCCTACCCATCCATTCTTGGTGATATGTTATCAGATGCTATTGGTTGTATAGGATTTTCTTGGGTAAGTTTATCATTTCTTCAAACATTTGTATAATTCATCGTAAATTTCTGGCACATTCTTCTTTTCACTTAAACCAACACTCTTTAGTTGCATCTTGAAAAGAAAAGAAGATACCAATGGGATCAACTTCAAAGCGAGGACCGATGTTCGTAAACTCAGAATTAGGGAATGTTCGAAGAAAAAACGAGTCTCGCTTTGGAACTTGCATTGGGTTATCAAAATCATAGTTTTGACCGAGACCGACAACACAATCGCCAAAAATGACTAAAAAAAGAAATAACAGACCGCTTTATTCTATACCAATGACTGAAAATTGTGCTCTTCGGAGGTAAGATGCTCATCTAGCACCCATTTTGTTTTAACTTATGACAGCGCGGTAGTCATAAAGTAAGTGAGAACGAATTTGTGGCTATAACAAAGGAAGCAATTCATCGTCACCTGTTGCACATATGCATTACATAGCGGTTGACAAACTCATGATTACGTCTATGCATAGTTTTTTGAAAGAGATGACCTCCACATTCCCATAAGAAGCATTTGTTAGATATTTTTAATACTTTTGGTGGCCTCAACCCTCTTTCCAGGAAAGTATCATTGGAAACGTAAGCCCTGGAAGATCATTGAAGCTATTGGATGTTCTTTTCATTATGAATAAGCAGTTGGAGTGTTTCTGTACAGTTCACAACGGGAAAACTCGTGTCATTATTTTAATTTCTCATTGTGAGTCAAGGTATGGAGCAGACCAACCAAACATTTAACTGTATTATTTCAGAAGTCCATTGTTGTTTTCCTAACTAGTAAATGTGTCTTTGTTGTATTTTAAAAATGTTAAAGAAGACGAATGTTTTAGAAAAATGTAAACATGTTTGGCCTTACAGGTGACAAGTCCTGCATGTACAGAACTGGAAGTCGTCACTACGGACTGGCTTGGAAAAATGATAGGTCTACCTGAAGAATTTCTACACGGTACTGAGGGACCAGGAGGCGGGGTCATACAGGTCAGAAGCATATTGAAGTTTTCTTTGTGTCTGTCTCGCTCTGATTTTAACTTTCTTGCCTTTAAATATTAAATTTTCTAATACAATATGAACCAATTGTTAGAAAACCTACATATGTAGTTTAAGCCACTTTAAATCTAAGACTAAAGATACAAACACAGAAAGGTAAACAAAGGATACAAATACAGATACACAAAAGTAACAAGAATTCTAAAGCAAAAATTATTTTCATTGTTTACCAACCTTTTCTTTGTTTTTCGGAGTTTAAGTGGTTTAAGTAGTTGATTTACAGTGATCTCATGCTTGTCAACATCGAGGTAGTGAGTTCGAACTCCCCTCATGGCCGGTGAGTTTGTAAGTTCTAACTCCGCTCATGGCAGATGAGGTTTTGAGTTCGAACTCCGCTCGTGACAGTGAGTTTTAAGTTCTAACTCCGCTCATGGCAGGTGAGGTTGTGAGTTCGAACTCCACTCATGGCAGGTGAGGTTGTGAGTTCTAACTCCGCTCATGGCAGGTGAAGTTGTAAGTTCTAACTCCGCTCATGGCAGGTGAGGTTGTGAGTTCTAACTTCGCTCATGGCAGGTGAGGTTGTGAGTTCTAACTCTGCTCATGGCAGGTGAGTTTGTGAATTCGAACTCCGCTCATGGCAGGTGAGTTTGTGAGTTCGAACTCCGCTCATTGCAGATGAGTTTGACTCCGATCTTCATTGAATAGGATTGCAGTTTTCCTGCCGAATTTTGGATAGTTTTCTACCATGTCTACTGGGTCCGACTTCCTCCACTAAAAACAACAAGCCGCCATTATATATCCAAAAGTGCTGAAAGTGACAATTAACACCACCAATCAATTAATCAACCTTTCTTTTCAGTCAACAGCAAGTGAAACAGTCCTTTTATGTCTGTTAGCAGCGAGAACACGTATTGTTAACAAATACAAGAAAGAAAATACAGAAATGAATGAAGTTGAGATCATCTCAAAACTTGTTGGTTACTGTTCTACACAGGTAAAATATTACATGAAAATAGTGCACATAGCGAGAATAAAAAACAATATGCACATAGCGAGAATACAAAACAATATGCACATAGCGAGAATAAAAAACAATATGCACATAGCGAGATAAAAAACAATATGCACCAAATGTCTTGAAAAATCAAACTCTGTATAAATGATTTTTTTTAAATATGAATAAAGGACAGCATTGTGTTCATTTCTTTTTTTTCCGTCCTGAACGTGCATGCAATATTTGCCACTGGTCGTTTAGCAATCAACAATCTATCAATCATTTCTGTTTAGTAATCTGTATCTTAAACAATACAAGGAAACGAAGACGCAAATACTGAGTTTCAGAACAATAATTTCATATTTAATCAAACAGTCACGTGTTGGTTTTCTTTATATTTACAGGCGAACTCGTCTGTGGAACGGTCTGGATTGCTTGGAGCTGTACAAATGGTTAAGCTTATACCTGACAGTAATCACAGCGTCCGAGGGGAGACGCTAAGACAAGCTATCAAACGGGATAAAGATAAAGGCAACATTCCATTTTTTGTAAGTGGTGTTTCTTAATTTATGAAATATGAAGATAAGACAGAATTTTAAAAGTACGACATAAAACCGAAATAGCGAATCAGTATAAACATTAAAAGAAAAAAAGATCACAAAACAGAAGAATCAAGCATTTGGTTTTATGTAAGAATTTTTTATGAGTCTTTCTCGCGTTTTCATATATCCAAATTGTTTTATTAAATACAATTTTATCCTGCAATCAGCCAACTATTTGCACAAAAAACTGGTACACATTTTGTTGCATATTTGTACTTGTACAAATAAAGTCTCCTATCACCCCGCTTCTATGTTGAGCAAGCGGTAATGTAGATATTTCTTTCCCATAACAGTTCATTTTGGGGTACTCTTCGCAGTCTGTGTTTAAACTATGTCGAGTTATATTTTTTTTTGTAAATTCCTATCAATATCATATTATATATTATATCATATTATGTCTTATCATAGATCTGCGTATCCTTGGGAACAACAGGGACATGTGCTTTCGACAACTTAGCAGAAATCGGACCTATTTGTAAGCAACAATTTATTATTGAATCACTTTGAAATAAAGACGGTGGTTAATCCTCTTTAATAAGTATGATTGTGCGATATCAATGAAATACGTAATTTTACAGAAAAAGCACCAAGTTGCAAATATTGTGTGAAGTGAACATTTTCAATGATATAATCAATAATGAAACTTACTAAAATGATGGCATAAAAATTACTAAAGTGGTCACACAAACTTACTGAAGTGGTGGCACTAACTTACTAAAGTGCATGGTGGCACAAAAATATTAAAATGGTGGCACAAAAATTACTGAAGTAGACATCCAAACTTACTAAAGTGGTGGCATTGACTTACTAAAGCGATGGCACAAACCTTACTATACATTCCCTATGATTTCTGACCTTGTATACATTTTATACAAAGGAGAAGGTCCGGCAAGGGCTAGTTTTGGCCTAAAATTCGAAGTACATAAGAAGAAAAATTACATCCTTTTTTTTAACCACTTAAGTGTCTACTTCAGTCAATTAAATTAGTTTATGTAAAAGATTTGAACTGATTTGGTCATTACAAATTCAAGCTTAAATATGAAAATTTTATCAAATATGCCATAAAACGTCATTTTTCAGATGGTGTTTGTTTAAAATGTAAGTGGCCGCATTCGTGTTCAGTCTCAGCCTTTATATAAGTCATGTATTATCATCAAATACAACATATATTTAAGAATTAATACTGAACAAAAATGCGGCCTCTTCCATTTTAGACTAAAAACATCATAGAATTAGCACAAATGCTAAAATTGTGAAGATTCAGTAATATTGCATGAATGTATGATGCTAGTACCTGGTGCATGTGCATTGTATTGTAAAAAAAACAGCCCATGTTTATGTAACAAAAGTATTCTACTTTCCAATAAATAGCTAAAAGTTTAAATTTCAACAAATTTATAAAAATGCTATATTTTGGGGCCAAAAAAGGGTCTTACTGTGCCTAATCCTTTGAGATGAATATCTTGGAATTCATAATTACTAGTTTTACTATTTTGTATAAATTGGTTAGCTTTTTTAGAAGAAAATCACTGCTCACTGTTAAAATTTATTATAGGTGAAGAGGAGGGTATATGGCTACATATTGACGCGGCATATGCAGGCAGCGCATTCGTTTGTCCAGAGTTCAGACATTACATGAAAGGAATAGAGGTAATATGCAATTAGCTAACAACGCTTGTGCTTTTGTTCGTCAGGATTATAATACATGTGCATGGTGCATTGTAATAGCCCCTAACTTCATAAGTATTAGAACAACCTTATTCAAATGAATCGATTAACATGATCAATTCTGTTTTGAGAAATGTATACTTGTTTGTTAATTTTCTTCTCAATATATGGCTCAAAACAATCATACGACTTTACAATTTTTCTGGGCCAAGAGTTAAATAACTCTTTCTATCTTTCAGTATGCAGAGACTATCAGCATTAACCCACACAAATGGATGTTAATTAACTTTGACCTCTCTGTAATGTGGTAAGTTTTGAAATAAACAAATGTTTATAACTTATGAATAAGATACCGATTAAAACCATGTTCATATCTAGACCAAAGTGAGATCGATTCAAGAAAAGACATACAAAAAATTATCAGCAAATTCAGGTAAATTAAAAAAGGGAAAGTCCATAAAACTGATAAAACCAAACGCTCGACTATATCAACCAAGGGAAAGGCTGGAAAACAATTGTCATATGCCTGACTTGATACAGACCCGAATGTCATCGATCATCAGCGACCCCCCCTGCTCCCATTTGAATCCGTGTTAATCATTAACACTGAACATGATCAGCATCAGGTACTTCTAATATTAAACTTCTACTTCGAATTCCAATCATCAAATATTTTCTTTGCGTTATATTGGTTGGTACTATAATACTACTGTTTTAATTTGAAGAGCGCTGCTGTGTAGGACAATTTGCATATGCAGCAACCCATTGTAGAGTAATGTGGGGATTTCGGATGCAAAAAAAAATTTCACTCAGTTTATTTCTAATGAAATATGATGTTATAATTAATGTCGAATGATTATTTTTCATATTAAACACCAAAAAAGTTTTGTCGACATCGCTTGTCACATATATCTACTGCTTGGCTTTGCTTTAGTTTATATTACGAGTTCTAAAACCCTAAGGGAAATAATTGTTAATTGAATTAAACTTCCTCATGTATAATACTACATCCAAATTGTGCAGAAAAGTTCTAACTCCTTAACCAACTATTTCTCTATAGGATAAAAGACAGTACACTGTTAGTTGATGCTTTTAATGTTGATCCGGTATATCTGAAACACATGAACCAAGGAAAAGTACCAGATTACAGGGTATGTAGAGTTTGAAAAATTAAATTTCTAATGGAATGGTTTAACAAGTTAAACTCCTTACCGTAATATTATGAAAATGAGGAGTTATGGTATTATTGCCAATGAGACAACTATCCACTAGAGTTAAAATGAAGTGGTAGGAATAACTGTTTTAATAAGATGTATTTCTAAAAAAATATAAATTCAACTATTTAAGTATGCTGTGTATGTTATTAAAATTTTGATAGCAATTTCTTTTTAAGAAAGATAATTAGACAGTAAATGAGCATCTGGCACAGTAAAGTTGATACCGTTAATGTTATTATTATAAACACTTGAAGGTTACCGACGAGTTTATTCGACAGGGAAATTAACTATCGAAAACCAGTAGCACAAAACAAGACCGAGACATTCACATGCACTGAAACCTTTCGATACAAAACAGGAGAGACAACAAAACAGAACATTAAAACATGCACTGAAACATTTCGGCACAAAACACAACGGAGACAACCAAACATTGTTGATGTGGTTCATAAGTGTTTCTCGTTTCTCGTTTTTTATATAGATTAGACCGTTGGTTTTCCCGTTTGAATGGTTTTACACTAGTAATTTTTGGGGCCCGTTATAGCTTACTGTTCGGTGTGAGCCAAGGCTCCGTGTTGAAGACCGTACTGTGACCTATAATGGATTACTTTTATAAATTTTGACTTGAATGGAGAGTTGTCTCATTGGCACTCATACCACATCTTCTTATATCTATCTATAACATTAAGACATGCACTCGCATTGCTTTGAAGCTTTAGTTTCATCTCCATACATTGGGATTTCTTGGGAATTCAGACAAATAGATTCAGTTGTCTTAAAACTTTGTCGGCTATTGTTGTTGGACCCTTTTGTTAAAATAAAGCTCATCATATATTTAAATGGAATATTAACATATTTATATTTTTCAAAATTTTGGCACTGGTGTTTCTGATGAAGGTTAATTTAGAATAGCACATTAAAATGTAATCAATTGGAAGTGTACGAGTTTAATATTGACGTAATAGTCTTTTCATAGTGTGATTATTGTTACTATTCACTCTGCAGTTTTCGTGAAAATAATACGCAAAAAAGGTAATTCTATGTTGTCTGATAAATGTCTGATTGAGTGCTCTAAATGTTATGGAAAAGTTCAAAAGCATCATGATTGGTTTTATATACAGTTACCCGTTATTAGTTTTACACAATCTTAAAATCCTAAAAAGGGGAAAATGCTTCTCAGAAAAGTGGTAATGATCTATTAATTTTAATAGAGATAGTGTCTCTTTTAAAACTATCTATATTGTTTTGTTTTAGCACTGGCAGATTCCACTAGGACGCCGGTTTCGGTCATTTAAGTTATCTATATTTTTTTGTCTTAGCACTGGCAGATTCCACTAGGACGCCGGTTTCGGTCATTGAATTTATCTATATTGTTTTGTTTTAGCACTGGCAGATTCCACTAGGACGCCGGTTTCGGTCATTGAAGTTATCTATATTGTTTTGTTTTAGCACTGGCAGATTCCACTAGAACGCCGGTTTCGATCATTGAAGTTATCTATATTGTTTTGTTTTAGCACTGGCAGATTCCACTAGGACGCCGGTTTCGATCATTGAAGTTATCTATATTGTTTTGTTTTAGCACTGGCAGATTCCACTAGGACGCCGGTTTCGATCATTGAAGTTATCTGTATTGTTTTGTTTTAGCACTGGCAGATTCCACTAGGACGCCGGTTTCGATCATTGAAGTTATCTATATTGTTTTGTTTTAGCACTGGCAGATTCCACTTGGTCGCCGGTTTCGATCATTGAAGTTATGGTTTATGCTTCGTTCATATGGTGTTTCAGGAGTTCAAAATTACATCAGAAAGGTAAGACTATCTTTTCTATTGTCGACTTAATTTTACTGTTTTGTAAACTGATTATGATTCACCCCACCACAAAAGGACTCTGTTGTAAGAAAGATATATCTAAGATTTATACTCCTTCGAGTTCTGTTTCACGAGTTTTCGTTAGGCGTACCAAACTATAAGCCTGGTATCATTGATGAGTTTTTATCAAATACGGATTTAAAGCAGGACTGAGCTTAATAACTAACAACTTCTCTCATAACTAGAAAGAGTAAAAAATCTACTTTTGTTTTTCTAGAAAGAAACACATTGTTCAATATTTTAAGATACGTGTTATTCTTTCGTTTAGGTACAAGTCACTTTTATTTGTTATCTATTTAATGCTATTGCATGACTGTTTGTGATTTATTGTCTTGAAAATTTTCTGAAATTACCCTGATGTTTGATTTCTTGATTGACAAATTGTTTGTTTCGTTTGTTATTTTTCTACAAACAATCGGCATTCCCATGGGGACCAACTGTGCTCCCCTTCCTGTTGATTTGTCCAGTATTCTTATGAGGCAGACTTTATATAGAATCTTCAAGAATGAAAACAAACTAGCGTTATCCTTTTAACTTCACGTTCCACTACAAAGATGATGTCCTCTCACTAAATAATTCAAAGTTTGTTGACTATGCAGAACGCATCTATTCCTTCGAACTTGACTCTGAAATAAAGGATACAACAAATACAGTTAAACCTGTCTGATATCTTCACTTGCATCTAGAAATAGACAATGAGGGTCGGAGAACAAAATTTTACGACAAAAAAGAAGATGTCAACTTCCAAATTGTGAATTTTCCATTTCTATATATAGCAATATTCAGCCTGCTTATGGATTACATATCTCCCAGTTCCTACGATATTCCAGAGCTTATAATATATTCCTATAAATCATGATTTCCTCGATAGAGGGTGGTTGCTTACATAAAAGCTATTACAACAAAATTTTCAAGTGGTGAAGTTGAAGTCAATATATGTTTTTCATACCACTGTCCCGTCCTATTTTCCTCGAATGTGACCTACCGAATTAAATCACCAAATGTGTGCTAACATGAGCAACACGGCGGTGCCACTTGTGGGACAGGATCTGCTTACCCTTCTGGGTCACGTAATATCACCCGCCGGCCGTTTTTGGATGGAATTTGTGTTGCTTAGTCGTTAGTTTTTTATGTTGTGTTAAGTAGAACGCTGTTTTTCTTTTGGTCGTCTTTTCTTTTATAATTGTCCGTTCGTTTTCAACTTATGAGTTTGAGTATCCCTTTTGTAGCTCTTTTGCAGGTGTTAAATGTATATAAAGCATATTTATTTTTGTGTAATATATGTATGAACAGATAAAGATTCCAAATACTGTATTTAGAATATAGTAAACAAATTATCGTACTTAGTATTGCTTCTGGTTTTGATTTGATTTTCTTAATTTTGTAGCACGTTAATTTGGCAAAGCAATTTGAAAAGTTAGCGAGAGAAGATGGACGCTTCGAGATAGTTGCAGAAGTTGTTATGGGACTTGTATGTTTTAGATTAAAAGTAAGTAAGGGTTTAATACACGTTTTATTCCATTAGTAATTCAACAAGTTATCTAGCATTGTTTACTATTGAGTCAATTTTAGTTTTAATTCAACATTTTTTTCTTCACAAATTATTCACCAGGCGATTTAGAGATTTGATTACTAATACCATATACTTCACTTGAATAACTGCCCTATATATATTTTCATAAATGGATAAAAAAAAATTAACTTTCTTTGCGGATTTTAAACAGCATATATTCAAATAAAAAGCGTTATTATTGTATGATATAATTTCGGTATAATAATGCACTTACACCACAAAATAAATTCTAAGCTATAACGTTGGGAAATATGAAGCATTCTTTTTTATTATATATTGTGCATGGCATCATTTAATGTATAATCAAATATAGTGCTGTATATCTGTATGAAAAATTCTCTGTGCACATTACAAAAACTACATAATGAGTTTGGGAACATATGGTTTAAAGGGAATCATCATCTTTTTAAGTCCAATTAAGTATATAAAATAAATCATATGGTTAGACTGCTAGTGTTATCTAGACATATAATGGTTGAAAGTTCATGAATTAAATTTATTGAAAATTCTACAGATCTATGTTTGATATTAGCAATGTCTAATATTGTTATAAACATGTATTTCGTAATATATTTTAGGGTCAAAATGAACTTAATGAAAAACTGATGGAAGAAATTATTGAAGACAGGCGAATATTCCTCATTCCAGCATTCGATAAAAAAATATATTTCCTCCGCTTTGCCATATGTGCAGAACGTACCAACTCCAGAGATGTAGAATATTCATTTGGTGTAATCAGAGATTGTGCAAATAATGTGTTGGCTGTGCATTCTAAGACACCATTGAAACATACCCCAGTTATAGTTGACATTGACCAACAGCCCAGAAATAACGGGAAGCTAATTAGTCACAATCAGTACTCCGACAACGAACAGGAGATTTAAACAATAAAAAACATAAGGTTTATTCCATTCTACCTATGCTACATTTAAAGAAATTCATGAATAGAATTATGTATATTTACATGTAGCAAGACTAAACGTAATTAAGATACTAGCGCCAAACTTGCAATTTGAACATCTTAATTGTTAAAACTCGTTTTTCCTGTATGAAAATCACGCTTACAGCATGGGCTTTTTCAAAGTCATTTCTGAGTTGTCCTTAATCAGGAATGCTCAGAGAAAACAGCTTTTAAAGCCAAAAGAGTAAACCTATTTAGAGCAAGAAAAAAAAATGCAGAACTAAAGAACATTAAAATCATTCGGAGTTCAACTATATGTCAGGGCAAAGTGAAACTTTATTTGAAGTATTATTACAAAATGTACTACTTTTTTTAAATTGCAACATCCATCATACGATTTTATATTTAATCCAATTGTTTATAAATCCTGTTGTGTCAGAATCATTCATTTAATAAGAAACACTTTCATTTAGCGAAGATTTAGTTTGGAAATAAAAGGGTTTACAAGTTCATGGTAATTGTTGTCCCACACAATCGCTCTAATATGAATGCCTTATCTCTTTTCGTGTAGTTAGTTGTCAAAATTGTTTCATCTGACAACAAAGTACAAAGTCATATTAATTAAAAGGATATGCATCACAATATCGATAATAATTTAAGTCGTCATTATTAACATTATCTTCATTTTCAAGTCCTATTGGAAATCTGATAAAATTATTTGTCAAATTGTGAGTTATTCAAAATAATGTGTTCTATGCAATAAAAAAAAATACTATACTTTTTTTTTATTTGTAAAGTGTTGTATTAATGCTGCTTTTTAGAAGCAGGAAGGGGTAAGCTGGAGGACGCAACGATAGCCTTGGTAGTTATATAATGAGATCAAAACAAATAGAAAATATCCAAATGTTTTTCACGCGATTGGAAAATCCAGGTTTATATTTTCAAGAGAAGTCTCCTTACAAAGATTTTGTTAGGATTAGCCATATATACACAGGCAGCTTTTATGTTGGCTTTTGAAATCTTTACAATCCTATAGATATTATTGTTTGTTTAAACATTCCCTTAATATGCAGATATTAATGTCACGTGAACAAATCTGCTTAGGTCGGTAACTCACGCATAAACCAACAAAATCAATTTATATGCGAAAATAAATCCTATTTTCTGGCGAATTCATTCGTATGATCGACTATTTTGAAGCACATTTGTTACTTAGTTCTTTTTATATCCCCACTCCGTAAGGAGGGGTATACTGGTTTCTTCCTGTCTGTCCGTCCGTTCGTCCGTCAAATAAAAGTTGTTTATATATGGAACTCAAACTTTTTGTAGCAAGCTTCTTATGGGCAAGATATACAGTGTGGTGTATTTTCACATGCATTGCTCATCAGCTTCCTGTTTACTGAATACATGTACTTATATATCAACAAATAATTACATTACATGCATGTTTCATTATAATACGTTATTATGATTGGCTAACAGCAATCTCGCGTCATTCTGAAATTAACCTTCATTTCAAAATGAAATGTAACATTCATGACGGGACGAGCTTCCACAATAAAGTACACAGGTAAATAAAAGAAAAACTTGATAGAAATCGTGTTTTCATGATCCTAGCAAAAAAATGTAATTATAAGTATTGAATGCTTCTTTTAGTAATTTTATAGGGTTGTAAAAGCGTTGACCGTCAGCGTGCGCACATTTTTAGAATGAAGCGCTTCCGCGCTTCATACAAAATGTACTTCGGTCAACGCTTTTACACACCAATAATTTACAAAAAGAAGCATTCAACTCTTAAATAATAGTCATGTATGAAAACTATATCACGTTTTATTCAGGAACTAAAGATTAGAACAAACTATTTTATAAATTTTGACTTGAATGGAGAGTTGTCTCATTGGCACTCATACCACATCTTCTTATATCTATATACATTGGTATCATCATTCCTTTTTTATGCGTTTTCACATACGTTGCTATTCCTATTTACTGAATTCTTGTAGTAGGGGTATCATATGAGAGAAGTACTTATTTTATCTTACAGATTAACTTGTTTAGTTGGTTTTGTTATTAATCCGCTTCAAAAGATAAGAATACTAGTTTTCTTTCATCCGTCCGTAGATTTATGTCGCATTTTTGTCAGCAAGCAATCTAAAACCAGAACTTTTCTTGTGGTCCATGTGTTTTGTTCGGCCGAAAATGATGAAATGCCTCCAGAATGCACCATTTTGCGTCTGAAGAAGAAAACAAATCGGAGGGGGGGGGGGGGGGGGGGGGGGGGGGGTAACTTGACCCCCATACCCCCGTTCTTTATTTGGACGTGCACATTATATGAACCCAACTGCGCCCTTGTCGGTTCCTTTTTTTGAGAATCCGCAGCTGGTTTTATAGTTATAACTGAATACCTTCTTTCACAATAGTTATAATGGAAATTTGGTTTTGGAAATATGTTTTGTTAATTTTTTTGTATATATAGTAAGGGAACAGAACTGTCTCCAATAAAAAAAATCGTCCTCATTAGAACACAACTTATCAACGATTTCAAAAGAATTATGAACGATATAAAAAATATTTAACACCGTAATTATTATGCTTTATATGAAAAGTTGATTAGTAGTCCGTAGAATAGAAATGTTTGCTGTGGAACTTTAACTAGAGGCAGCACAATTTCTAGATCCTTCCAAAGTTTTAATGAAATTTTATAAGTGCGATCTTTGCACCTGCACATGTTCTTAATTCAAGGGGATTAGCTACGATTTAGACAAAAAAATCAAATTGTGGTATTTTTTGCGTCAAACATTTATAAAAGCGGAATATTGAAATAATATTTCCCTATTAGCAGTCAGTTTGGTTCAATTTTGTCAAAATACGCTCAAAAACATCGCAGATGTAATATTGGCTTGCAAGTCAATAATTCCGTCCATTAATTTAAATCCGTATTCATCCGACCTTCAATTCCAACATTAGATTGGCTGCGCATGTTTAGTAAATTGAAAAGAAAAGAATGTCAACATTGAAAAAAGAAACAAAGGAGCATGATTCGGCCCACAAAAAATCATTCTGATACAGGTAAAACATTGATTTATACACTTTTTAATCTATGACATGAAATCAAACGGACCTAGAAAAATCGTCATTATATGATTGTACGAACACTCAAACCAAAACATTTTGTAAGCCAGATGATATGTATATAAAAAACCTTAAACACGTAAAGAGTTATGTGACCAAAGGGGACCTAAAACAGCCAAATTCAGCTTAGTTCAACTTTCCAGAAGGGAGTTGGAACCTTAGTTTCTTAATAATTTCTTAATTCATAAACGGAGAATTTAAAATGCTTGAAGAATATTCAAAGAAAAAATTTGTCACGGTGTATTTTTTCTTGCTATTATAAATAGGATTTTTAGCTGCATATTCCTTTGTGAAATTAAGTTATCTGAGTTATCACACTTAGCATATATACGTTTTAAAATCTTGAAATCAGTCAAAGATATTCTGTATTTGTAAAAACATCCCTATTATTTAGATGAAATCACATGATTTTCTTCATTTATCTGAAAAAGTTTTGCAAATGAATTTATCCCTGTCGCAAAATTTGCTTATTTCATTAAAACTCTAGATCGATCGTTTTCTGCTATTTTACGATCCAAGAGGGCAATCATACTACATTAAGACATTGTGACAGCCGCGACAGGACCAAAATGTGTACTTTATAACTCCTTTTTGGTCCAATTCATGTAGATAAGAAGACAATGTGTGATTAGAAAAAAAAAATAAAAAAATGTATGTATCAAAGATTTTTTAATTTTTTCGCAGACTACTAAATCCTTGTGTGGTGTTAGTCGCTGAATTTGAATATGATTAATATAGTTATTTATTTTGAACACTGTCAGTCTGAGATATCATCAGGTTACAGCGTCGTGAGATCAAGTACAGCTGTTTAAATCAGACTTAAGCTTGGGGTCAGTAGGATTTATCTGACCAAATTTCCACGAGTACGTGTGTATGTCATTACAGAATAAAATATCCTGATTGTACATTCTGATCTTATTTTTTGGGGGGTCTTAAGGAAGACGACAATGTTGTTTTTCTTCTTCATGAGTGCAACGTATGAGACAATGCCATTTTTTAGTATTGTATAAACCAGGAGTTTCTCTTAAACAAAAAGGAGAAGATACCAACATGACCAAGAAGACATTCAAAAACGATCAGTCGAAAAAAACCTAACAACACCATGGTCAAAATTAAAATGACGAAAAGACCAACAACAGTCCACTAATTTCTAATCATGATCTCCACCGATAACCAAGGTAAACTCGGGCGCCCCGGAAGGATAGGCAGTGTCGTATTTTCACATCATTCAACAAAAAGAGGCTCCTAGAAGCCCGAGTCTCTCACCTGAGGCGGAAGATACCAACGCGACAGTCATCTCATCGAAAACGAACTGACAATGCCATAACCTATTAATTGTTGAAGAGAACACCTTCCGATGGTTTTGTGTTCTGTTGTACATGATTTATATTAAGAACCGGCTTGCCCATGTATACGTGGCCTTATGTCCCACTGGAGATGAAGGGGATAAGTAAGTAAGTATAAGTTGCCCATGTATACGTGGCCTTATGTCCCACTGCATGGGATGAAGAGGATAAGTAAGTAAGTAAGTTGCCCATGTATTCTAGCAAAATTTTGATACCCATTTATTACACATTTTCATAAAAGAAATAAAAATGCACGGCCGTGTAGTTTAAACCCCACAACTTCATGGTAAACTACATAAACCAAAACTTTAAAACGATACGGAACGGTCGAACAGGCTGACGGACGCACAAGCAAACCTGTACATAATTGAAATGCAGAAGATTAAAAAGAATTCCCAAACCTGTTGGCTATATTAAATGTATTAACGTAAAAAGCAGGGTTTTTATCAAATTCCTAATTTCGCAATAAATCACTATATTTGGGATATTTAATCAAAGTTATAAACAATTTATAATATCTATATCACTGCTGTAAAATTTGCTAGTATCGAAAAAAATGTTTACTTAAGTCCTAGGCGTTGCTGCAATCATGCATATCGAACCAACTGCGAAATGTTCAATGCATAAGTAGATAAGTGGAATATCGCCATCAAGTAAAGGAAAATTAACAACGGAAAAGGAAAAGTTGTCCCATTACCATCAATTTTGGTATGTTGATTACAACGAAAAATTCAAATATAAAGATAAGCAAAAGAGACATCAGTACGTTTTAAAATTAGATTTAGTAAGAGAGGAGTTTAGTTTAATTTTTTTATTGTACTTTTTAAGATTATAACTAAAACCGCAAAATAAGGGTAAAAGTCGTCATTTTTTTTGGCATTAACTCCTTAAAACAGTCGATTTACGATTTTTTTTTTGTTTTTTTTTTTTGTTTTTTTTTTTTTTGCTATTTAAAGTTTTTCCCTACCTATGATAGTTTTCAAGATAATTACAAAAAATATGGGATATCAGATTATCTGAAAATATAGACAAAAAAATTCTTGAGATATAGGCTATAACTACAGCCTTAACCCATATTCTATATTTTTACCTGTGACAGCCATGTTGATCTATGATCGTGTGTAGAGGACCTTTTCCTTTCATAATAACTAAAAGTTTCAAAACACTTGCCTCCGTGGTTTCATAGCAGATGCTATAATACTTTTTACCAGAGGCAAAAGGATAAATCATTATTGAAGGGAAATAACTACTATAGGGAGATGACAGATAGTTTCAGTAATGGTTAATAATTTATTTATTGTCTC